GCAGAGGAGTCACTTCAGATATCTGCTCAAGCCAAATAACATTCACACACACACTCAGAAAAACCAAACCGCACAAAACACAAATTCTTGCACACACTCACAACACGCATGCAACGCACGAACATATGATGGGAGGCAGACAGACGTGAATGCGAATGGTAGCATCACTCAACATGATGAATGGGGCAATCAACAGTAATTACAAACGGGCCAATCGATATATACAAAATGGGAGTAGGAGCCAGCGATGTTTTTGTTTGAGCTGACTCATAAGCAGAACAATGATGGTTGGAGTGTAAGATGAGAGGACAGGGAGCATTGATAGGGCTACCATGACATGGACGTACAATAAAGGGGCAAGGAGGTGCACGCAAGAAAAAAATATCCATCGTTGCCTACTCAATCGTCATTAGCTCCACATTCATACGTGCAATATAGGGAGACTGAGGTGCACGTAAGAAAGAATTCCCTTTTTACTTGCTCAATGGTTGTCAGTTCTCCCCGATTGCAACTCGATTTGACGTTCATTCTCCAGTGTCTTCTATCGTGCATTTCTATGCTTGTTTGTAGAGACGTGCAATAATATAATTGCAGTGGAGTGTAGTCGCAAACAATACCCAACACAGTTGTAAAGGAGCGAGACGAGGCAGAAGACAAGAAGCGGACATTGTGGCTAGGGAGAGGGTCGGAAGCAACTCAACGGAGGTACGGCAAGGCGAGGGCAAGACGTGAACAGCAGCACAGTATGCAGGCGAGGCGCAAGCGCAGGTGACCAAGGGAGGGAATGGGCCAGTTGGCTAAGATGGGTGTGTAGGGGATCAATTGTATGAAGGGTGGAGATTCTCTCTTATAAATAGGTGGGTTGTAAGCCTTTGATTCCGTGCACCATATCGGATGCATGTGAATGAGAGCAAGTGCTAGCGCAGGAGTAGAGCGATACCCTCGTCTCGTTCAATCCATCAGGCCCTAGGCAGGATGCACCTTGTAAATAGCAGCCGAGGCCTATATTCTCTTTGTCTGTTTGTTTGTTTCTTGAGCTAGTGGAATTTGTCTTCAAGCTATCTTCCTAGCTGAGGCGTCCCGATGTAAGAACCAGTCTGAGAGTTGAGACGCTTTTTCGAGGAGGTAGATGCATAATATCATCAAGACATGAAAGTAAGACTCCAACGGCAATACAAAAGAGCAGTACCTGAGGAAGATAGCACGCTTCAGCGGTCATCACCGTGAGCACACCTGGGATAGTAGAGGACAGAATGAGGAGTAAGGACGGGGAATGGAAACTTCAAAACCTCTCCAGCTGCTCTTTGTGCCTAGCGGAACAGCGAATGGCAGCATCATGAACATGTGCCTGAATGGCGCGGGGTAAGCTTCTCGCCCTACGCGGTCATGGACTCGAGTGCAGCAAGTCTGCCAAACGCAACTTGACGGACACCATGATGGGGTTGCTGCGGAACCGCATAACGTAAAGCAGCTCCGTTGAATGGGGATATTCTTTCGGGTCTGGCCGGAGAATGTGCACACGTGGAGGGAGGGAGGGTGTATGCAGTCAAATAGTGTCCTTAATGCCCCATGTGGTAAAAAAACTGACCCACCGTAGGAGAGGGTTTGTATAATCTCCAGCGCATACTGCCTCGCACCTTGAGGCATTAGGCGTGGCTTGATGGCAGATGAAGAAGTAGGGGGAGGGGAAGTAAAGACAAGTAGAGTGGATGTGTAGCGAATGTGAATGTCCATGCCCACGTGTCAGTGATGGTGAGGGTTCCATATTTCAGTATTCGTGTGTTGCACATATTGCAAGTGATTCAATGTGCCACTAGTAGCACCCCTACCGCCACGGCCACCACCATCAGCAGAGGCAGCAGCAGTAGCAGCATCACCAGGTTGGTCTAGGTTGGACCTGCTCCTCGTAGCGAGTGAGGTCCATCTCCCATTCCAGCTTCAGCCTCTTAAACTAGAGCTGCACTGGGATCCGTTTCTCCACCTGCGCTTGCCAGTCCCTGGGAGAAAGGAAACGAGATGACAATTGGAAAATGAAAGCGAAGGAGGGAGGGAGGGAGGGAGGGAGGGAGGGAGGGAGGGAGGGAGGGAGGGAGGGAGGGAGGGAGGGAGGGAGGGGGGGAGGGAGGGAGGGAGGGAAGGTGGAGATAGATCAGCTGCCGCAAGCAATTTGCCAAAGTTTTTGTGCTCGCACTGCTCCAGAATTTTGCAAAACCCCGAATTTCTCCCTCGTCGGACACTCCGTCAAAACTCACCCAAACACCCTGATTGGAGCATAGTGAAAAACAGACTGCTGAAATTCCTCGACGGGGTTTGCCACTCACTTAACATGGCACTAGTCGAGGCGATAAACCTGCCACTACCACCACGCCACCAACCAGACGACCATGAGAGTCGTCGGGGTGGAAGGCTTGGATTGACGCGACAGCCTTCGACAAGCAGCGATGGCGCTTAACCCCACATGCTACTATGCTCAATGCTCATGCTGACCCCACCCTTCTAGTCAACTGGCCTGAGGACCCTTCCTCCACCCCGCTTGCCATCTCTGGACCAGCCTTTGCCAAGCTGCTCACCTGCTGTTAGAACGGGGTCGGCGCGGGTCCATCAGGAACCACATTCGAACATCTTTGGGATGCTGCACTCTCAAACACCAATATCCTCAACCACTTCTACGCCCTTACCGACACCGTTCTCAAAAGCAACTTCCCGCCAAGTAGCCGAGTTATTCACCTTGTCGTGCCTTATAGCTCAGATGAAGCCGGATGGGGGGGTACGCCCTATTCGATGTGGGCGAATGCTTTATGCGAGTGGTGGTGAAATCCGCCCTCTTCGTCATAGACGACACATCAAGATAGTTCTTGCTCCCACTACAATCTATGGCGGGAAGAAGGGGAGGCCAATATTCACTCTGCATGCGCCTTCGTAGGCTTGCATCCTCAATATCTTATTCCGCACGTAGTCTTGACCAATGCTTTCAACATCATCGACCGCGACGCAATCGTAAAAAAAACCTTCACGGAATCATCGGCGCAATCACAGCTGCCACTTGTATGCCTCTTCTACAGGAAGTCGTCCCATCTCTACCTGGACGTCGACTACCAAAGCTCACCCCTGCCACTTGTGAGAGAGGAGTCCCCCAGGGTGACCCTCTAGGACCACTCTTGTTTGTAGTAGGAATGTACCCCACCTTGAAGGCTACAACCGAGGCGCACCCTTCAGACTTGTGCATGGCCTATGTTGATGATGTCACCTTCATCGCCTCACCAGACGAGGCGGCTGCATTTTTCAATCGCTTCACCCAGAGGCTTGAACAGCTAGGCCTTTCCCACAACCCGACTAAGTCTGCAGCGTGGAGTGTCAAAACATATATGCTCATGTGTTGTAGGCTATATGGGTGTTAGCACTAGGGGGTACAAAATTTCTCTCGATGTTGTTCTTGTACCCCTCCCCCTTGACCTAATTACCATTCCTTCATGTATTCTAACATGGTATTAAGAGCTAGGACCTTTCTAGCCTAGGACCTATTTTTTCAAAGGGCCCACCGTTAAAACCTTCCGTGTTCCTGCCCGAATCGCACCCTAGGCGCGTTCCTTTATTTTTCTGCCCGAAATGCGCCCTTAGGTGCGTCGATTTTCGCTGCTCAGCCCGCTGCCCCGCTGCCCTGCCCTGTCCTGTCGCGCGCAGCCCGTACAGCCCGCGCCAGGCCCGCGCGCAGCCCGTACAGCCCGCGCCAGGCCCGCGCGCAGCCCGTACAGTCCGCGCTAGGCCTTCGCGCAGCCCGTACAGCCCCCGCCAGGCCCGCGCGCAGCCCGTACAGCCCACGCCAGGCCCGTGCGCAGCCTCTGCAGCCCCGTGCTGCCCCCTGCTTGCTTGCGCGTCGCCTTTGCCGCCCGCGCGCAGCACCTGCAGCCCTCGCGCTGCCCCCTGCTCCCCCGCGCGCCGCCGCTGCGGCCCGCGCGTAGCCTCTGCAGCCCCGCGCTGCCCCCTGCTTGCCCACGCGCCGCCTCTGCCGCCCGCGCGCAGCACCTGCAGCCCCCGCGCTGCCCCCCCCCCCCCCCCTAATTGCCCGCGTGCCGCCCCTGCCGCCCGCGCGCAGCCTCTACAGCCCCCGCGCTGCCTCCTGCCTGCCCGCGCGCAGCTCCTTCGACCCGCGCGCTCCTCCCCTTGAGCACCCGCGAGTGGCCTCTGCTGCCCGCGCACTGCCCCTTGCACGCTCGCGCCTTGCCTGCTGCAGCCCGCGCGCCGCTAGCTCCGGGCCGCCTCTGCAGCCCACGCATGCCGCCCCTCCTGCTGCTTCTGCCTTGCTGTGCAGCAGCAAGTTGCGCTGCGCAACTTGCTGCTTGCTCACAAGCGCGCGCGCTGTTACGATACGGACTTAATCTAGGAACCGGGTTTAAGGAGGGCCTAGGCTTAGAAGCCTAGGCCAAGCGGGTGTCGAGGGAGTTGTCGCCAAGAGAGAATCGAGAATGATTGGTTTCACTATAGCACACAAGGTACATATAGCAAAATAGCAACGGTGCACCACCAACAACAAGAAGGCATAACTACACTAAAGCTAAAGCTACAGGCAGTATATAAACATATATAAAATATATATCGCGACACACCCCCTTAACTGCCTGCAGCACATAACTATAGCAAGTCACACCCCCGGAACCTGGGCAAGAGGTAGAAGAAGCAGGGGAAACAGCAACACAGATCAACCATGTTAAATGCAACAACGGCAAGTGCAGGACCCGAGAGGTGGGCGTGAGAGCAAGCGCCGTGGCTACAACGAGCAGCTGGACAGCGCGGCTCAGCGCCTCCGGGGGCGTGCCTGCTACAGGCAGCAGATGCAGTGATGGCAGATAGAGCCACAGTGACCTCAGCCACGGCAGATGCAGCAGCAACAGGTGCAGGACCCGGCAGGTGGGCGTGAGAGCAGGCGCTGTGGCTGCAACGAGCAGCTGGACAGCACCGTTCAGCACCTCCGGGGGCGTGCCTGCTACAGGCAACGGCTGCAAATGCCCGACTTACTTCTTCCACCCCCTTACCCGCCACTCAACCCCTCTGGTGCTGGCGGCTGGCGCTGGTGCTGGTTCCTGGTGCTGGCGGCTGGCGCTGGGGCTGGTTCCTGGTGCTGGCGGCTGGCGCTGGGGCTGGTTCCTGGTGCTGGCGGCTGGCGCTGGGGCTGGTTCCTGGTGCTGGCGGCTGGCGCTGGGGCTGGTTCCTGGTGCTGGCGGCTGGCGCTGGGGCTGGTTCCTGGTGCTGGCGGCTGGCGCTGGGGCTGGTTCCTGGTGCTGGCGGCTGGCGCTGGGGCTGGTTCCTGGTGCTGGCGGCTGGTGCTGGGGCTGGTTCCTGGTGCTGGCGGCTGGCGCTAGGGCTGGTTCCTGGTGCTGGAGGCTGGCGCTGGGGCTGGTTCCTGGTGCTGGAGGCTGGCGCTGCAGATGAACTCTCACCACCCACACCCCCTGAACCTCCCCCCCCACAGCAGCAGCAGTGACGGCGAAAGAGAGGAGGAGGCGTGGCGGCAGTTGCTGCAGTTGAATCACCCCCTCCAAGCCACTCCCCCCCCCACAGCTGCAGTCGCGGAAGGGAAGGCGACGGGGGTGGAAGGGAAGAGGGACGGCGGTAGGCGCTGGCGGCAGGCCTGACGCTGGCGCTGGCGCTCGCTTCTGACGGCCGCCCACCACCCCTTTCCCCCACTCATCCTCCCCCCCACTTGAGCCGCCAACCCCGCCACTCTCGCCACTCCCGCCAGTCCCGCCACCGCCGCCCCCACTGTCCACCACACCCACCACCGCCCAACACAGCATAGGCAGGCGCGGTAGCGGGGGGTGCGCAACGAGGGAGGGACGGGGAGGGGCAGGGACGGGTGGCGTACGGGAGGTGGGCGGGGTGTGAGCTGGCTGGCGCGTCGGTTGGGCCGCCACCCTTTTCCCCCTTCCTTCCCCCCCCCCACCGCGACCGTCTCTGCAACCGCGCAGGGCCGGGACGGGTGGGGAAGAGGTGGCGGGGTAGGGAGCTGACGACGGGCGGCGGCGGGTGCTGCTTGCGCAGCCGTCGCGGCTGGCGTTGGTCGGCGATGACGGAAGGCCTGGTCGTCGCGACCTTCGCCAGTGAGCGTGCGACGAGGAGGCGACGCGGGGCAGCGCATGTGGGCGAACGCGCTGGCAAGCCGCTGGCGATTTTGCTGGCATTATCGCTGGCGCATGGGCAACGAGCTCGTTGGCGGGTCCGGCGGCGGGTCCGTCGGCGCGTTTGCTGGCGCTCTCGTCGGCGGAACCGACGGCGGGTTTGCATGCGGGTCCGTCGGCGTTATCGCTGGTGCGTTCCTGGCGTGCGCGTTGGCGTGCGTTCCTGGTAATGCGCGGGCGACGGGCTGAAAACGGGAAGATGCTCACGAGGCGCACTAACGGGCGCGCCATTGCAAGCACTAATGGTGGGCCCATTTGAAAACGGTCCTAATCGGACCTGGCTCTATACCATGTTACGATACGGACTTAAAGCGACGGTGCACATTTGCCACCCAAAACCCAGAACCCTGGCGAACTGTTACTGCGGATGGAAAGTGTCCGCACGAAATCCTGGTTTTCGCCAGCCAGCACTTTCGCGCTGGCAAGCCTGGTTCAAAAAAAAAACTTCTGAACCCAACACTGCCAAAAGTTGCCCGTCGCTTTAATCTAGGAACCGGGTTCAAGGAGGGCCTAGGCTTAGAAGCCTAGGCCAAGCGGGTGTCGAGGGAGTTGTCGCCAAGAGAGAATCGAGAATGATTGGTTTCACTATAGCACACAAGGTACATATAGCAAAATAGCAACGGTGCACCACCAACAACAAGAAGGCATAACTACACTAAAGCTAAAGCTACAGGCAGTTATAACATATATAAAATATATATCGCGACACGCGCTGCCGTTCCTGCTGCTGCCTGCTATGGCAACCCTAAATGTGCTTCAGTTTGATCCGGAGGGCCGACCCGTACGCTTCGATGTCTGGCTCGATGACCTGCAGTTGTACTTACAGACAGAGTCTAGAGATGGCGTCTCGCTGTTTGCCCACACGTCTGGTGCCTCGCTCGCTCCTGACGGTACTGACAGTCTTGCTCACTCCCAGTGGCTTACCTGTGATGCTACCGCTCGTCTAGCCGTTCGCAACCACCTACCGGTAGCCGAATGCGTGCATTTCCGCCAGCAGACTGCCAAAGCACTGTTCGACGCTGTAGTCACTCGTTACTCCTCCCCTGCCACTGCTACCCTCAGTCGCCTCATTCTGCCCTACCTTTTCCCCAAGCTATCCTCCTTTGCCACAGTCGCTGATCTCATCTCTCACATGCGCACTAGCGACACTCGTTATCGCGCTGCGCTTCCTGCTGAGTTCCTAGCCAAGAACCCCCCCCCGATGTACATCACTCTCTACTACATTGTCACCCGCCTCCCTGACACTCTTCACGCAGTCAGGGACCAGTTTCTCCAGCTAGACCCCACAGCCCTCACTGTTGATGACCTCGAGAAGCACCTGCTGGCAGCTGAGACTAGTATAGTCGCTGTAGGCGCTGCTTGTGGCACTCGTCGCACTCCCTTCTTTGAGGGGTGTTCTCCCGTTCCCCTTACCCCCTCCTTCACCTCTGCTAATGCTGTCGACTTCCTTGGTGCTGAGGAGGTCGGGGCTGCTTCTGCTCCTAGTGGGAAGCGCCGCAGCGGCAAGGGCAAGGGGGGCAAGGGAGGTGGGGGTGGCAGCGGGGGTAGTGGAGGCGGTGGAGACGGTGGAGGCGGTGGAGGCGGTGGAGGCGGTGGAGGTGGTGGGAGCGGTGGCGGGAGTGGTGGCGGGAGTGGTGGCGGGAGTGGTGGTGGGAGTGGTGGCGGCAGTGGCGGTGGTGGAGGCAGTGGGAGTGGTGGTGGCGGCAGTGGTGGCGGTCGGGGTGGGGCTGGTCAGAGGGGAGGCTCTGGGGGAGGCCAGCGGCAGCAGCAGCAGCGTCCGACCGAGACCTGCACACCTCAGCAGCACCGTGAGTGGCTTGCTCAGCGGTCGTCTGGGTCCAGTTCTCGCTGCCCGTACGTCATTCGCACTGGTGACATGCGGGTCAGAGATGCGGGAAGTTTCACACCCAGCACCGCTGCTTCTCCCGCCTTGACGACGCTTGGCGCGCAGAGTTTGGCGATGAGGCTGAGCGCCCTCTCTGGCTAGAGCTGTTTAGGTCTGGGGTTGATATCTTTGCTCTTGACTTCGATGCTATTCTCTCTGCCATGTATGCATTGACTATTAGTGCTGAGGGTGACTGTTACTCGAGTGTGCCACCTGACCCAGGTATAGAGGCTGCAGCCCTAGGTGCTAGCGAGTCTGCTCTCACTGGTACTGCACCCACTGAGGCCTTGCACACCTTCACGCTTGACTCAGGTGCTTCCCGCTGTTTCTTTCGTGACAGTACCGCACTGACACCACTTCGTGCACCTGTTCCTGTCTCTCTGGCCGACCCCTCCGGGGGGCCAGTTGTTGCATGTTCCTCCACTGTTCTCCCTTGTCCGGCGGTTCCGTCCGGCTCACTGACAGGTCTCCACCTCCCCTTGTTCTCTATGAACTTGGTGAGCAACGCTGTCCTCCAGGATGCGGGGGTTGACACCTTCACCCCTGGTCGGCAGCTTTTGGCGATCTGTACGTGCTCCCAGACCGGCCGCCACCTGGCCACGTTCACCCGTCGGCCTGGGTCGAGTCTGTACACACTGACTACTGCGCCTCCTCAGGTAGCTGCGTCTGCGTCTGCGTCAGGTCAGCTTGCGGCCCCCTGCTCGTGTCGCGCCATGTCGCACCAGACGCTCCTTTGGCACCACCGCCTTGGTCAACCCTCGGTGGCACGCCTCCGTGGCATGCACTCCAGTCTCGTTGTCTCTGGTCTTCCCAGGTCTCTGCCTCCCCTCCCACCCTCGCCTGCCCCTCCCTGCCTTGCGTCGAGGGGCGGCAGCGCGCCGCTCCTCACTCCTCCTCGTTTCCCCTGACGACTGCTCCCTTGCAGACCCTGCACATGGACGTGTGGGGCCCAGCCCGCGTCCGTGGGCAGGACCGCGAGCGGTACTTCCTGCTGGTTGTTGACGACTACACGCGTTACACCACGGTGTTCCCCTTGCGCACCAAGGGTGAGGTCCCTGATGTTCTGATCCCTTGGATCCGCAATGTCCGTCTCCAGATCCGCGAGCGGTTTGACTCGGACCTTCCGGTCCTGCGTCTGCACTCTGACAGAGGTGGTGAGTTCTCCTCCGACCTCTTGCGAGCCTTCTGTCAGGGGGAGGGAATCCGCCAGTCGTTCACGCTTCCGGCCTCGCCATATCATAATGGGGTTGCTGAGTGCCGCATTGGTCTAGTCATGGAGGTCGCTCGTACCTCCATGATCCATGCGGCGGCTCCCCATTTTCTGTGGCCGTTTGCAGTCCGGTATGCCGCGCATCAGCTCAACCTCCGGCCCCGTGTCTCCTTGCCGGAGACTTCACCGACACTGCGTTGGACGGGAGAGGTTGGCGATGCGTCGGTGTTCCGGGTCTGGGGTTCTCGTGCCTTTGTCTGCGATACCTCCGCGGACAAACTCTCCCCCCGCGCCATTCCCTGCGTCTTCCTTGGCTTTGTCCCTGACGCGCCTGGCTGGCAGTTTTACCACCCCACCTCGCGCCGTGTCTTCCCCTCTCAGGACGTCACGTTTGACGAGTCGGTTCCCTTTTACCGTCTCTTCCCCTATCGCACTGCCCCTCCCCCCCCTCCGCCGCTCTTCCTCGCTCCAGGTCCCCCTCCGGTAGACCCCCTCCCCCCTCAGGGTCCTGCTCCCTCAGGTGTGTCTCAAGTAGACCCCGTCCCCGTGGCTGAGCCGGTTGAGGTTACAGGTGACTCTGGTGCTGCTCGAGGTGTTGCGTCTGAGGGTGTGGAGCCTGGAGGTGCTGAGCCTGAGTGTGAGGTGACTGGGGGTGCTGAGCCTGAGTGTGCGGAGCCTGGGGGTGCTGAGCCTGAGTGTGCGGAGCCTGGGGGTGCTGAGCCCACGGGGGCGGAGCCTGAGCCTGCGGAGCCTGGGGGTGCTGAGTCTGGGGGTGCCTCGTCTCGGGGCCCTGTTTCTGGCCGTCGAGGCCCTCTCTCGCCTCAGCAGTTGCGCGACTGGTACGCTTGGTGCACACGCCTTCGGAGTGGTGCAGCTGGAGCTGGAGACCCTACTTCTGGAGGTGCTGCTACTGGAGCTGGTGCTGGAGGTGCTCTTGCTGGCGCTGGTGGTACTGGAGGTTCTGCTGCTGGAGCTGGTGGTGCTGGAGGTGCTGCTGCTGGAGCTGGTGCTGGAGGTGCTGCTGCTGGCGCTGGTGGTGCTGGCGGTGCTGCTGCTGGAGCTGGCGGTGCTGGAGGTGCTGCTGCTGGCGCTGGTGGTACCGGAGGTACTGCTGCTGGAGCTGGTGGTGCTGGAGGTGCTGCTGCTAGAGCTGGCGGTGCTAGAGGTGCTGCTGCTGGAGCTGTCGGTGCTGGAGGTGCTGCTACTGGAGTTGGCGGTGCTGGAGGTGCTACTAGTCGAGTTGGTGGTGCTGGAGGTGCTGGCCCTTGGGGTGCTGGTGCTGTCGGAGCTGGTTCTGGAGGCACTGTGCGACCGCGACCGTACTTCGTTCCACTGCTTCAGCAGGTTCTTGGTCTCCCGCCTTCTACTGGCCTTACTGTCAAGAATCTAACGTAAGGGTTTAGGGCCTAGGCTTAGGAGCCTAGGCCAACGTATGTCGAGAGAATCGTGGCCAAGCGAAAGTGAGAATGGTTGAGATTCACTATAGGTTCAAAGAACATCTAGCAAAGAACAAACGGGTGCACCACCAAGCAAACAATCAGATAACTACACTACAGTAACTGCAAGCAAGATAGATTAAATATACCTCTAACACACCCCCTTAGCCTGCTTGCAGTGATAACTAGTGCAGTCAACACCCCCTGAAGGGGTACACCTGGCACAGTGGAAGACGGCAGAAAGTTTAATGAGGAGGAGGAGGCGAGAGAGAGAGAAGAGAGGAAAGGAGCGAAGTGCGAAGGAGGAGGTGAGAGAGGGATGAGGCGAGGAGTTGAGGGGGAGCCACCCATGGCGAAACCCTCGTAGTAACCCCCTTTTACAAAGGGGGGAGGTGAGAGAGTGACGAGGAGAGGAGGTGGGGGGGAGCCAAGCACGGCGAAACCCCTCTTAGTAACCCCCCAAAACCCCACACCCATTCAACCACCCCCCCTTAACCTCACCCCCCATAGCAGCCGCCCCCTTGGACCGCACCCCCTCCCCCCCTTCCTTCCTCCACACCCCTACCCCACCCACGGTAGTCCCTGCAGAATCCTTACCGCCACCTCCTCAGCCCCCCCCACTCAACGTCACACGCGGGAGTGAGCGAGAGGAGGAGGAGGCGGCTGTGCTGCTTCTGCTCACGGCGGCCAACCCCCCAACCCCCCGTCCCCGCCACCTCCTCTTCACAGCAGTAGCCGCGGGAGGGGAGACGACGGGGGAGGGGGGGGGGGATAGAGGGGCGGGCGGCAAAGCGTGTGGTTGGCGCTGGCGGGGGTCTTTGCCGGCAGTTGCGCTGCTGGCGGGGTTCTCTGCCGGCGGTTGCGCTGCTGGCGGGGGTCTCTGCTGGCGGTGGCGCTGCTAGCGGGGGTCTCTTCTGGCGGTGGCGCTGCTAGCGGGGGTCTCTTCTGTCAAACATTATACATGTTCATATTGTGTAGGCTATAGTGGGTTTAGCCTTAGGGGGTACAACATTGCTAGGGTTTCCTACTTGTATCACCCTGCTGCCTAGTTTCACACATTCTCGTTCAGTTCTACATTCTAACATGGTATCACGAGCCTAGGTTGCTACCTAGGACCGCTTTCTCCTACGGGCCCACTATTCCGCTAGAAGCGCCCTCGTGCGCCCTACCTTACGTGCGCCCTCGTGCGCCTTTCTATACTCGTGCGCCCTCGTGCGCCCTCGTGCGCCCTACCTTACGTGCGCCCTCGTGCGCCCCCGTGCGACCCGCCCTTCGGTCTGCCCGCGTGCCGTCCTGCAGCCCTCGCGCTGCCTCCTGCAAGCTAGTACGGCCCTCGAGCCGCCCCTGCAGGTCCGTCAGGCCCCCGAGCCGCCTCTACAGACCCATCAGGCCCCCCCGAGCCGCCTCTGCAGGCTCGTCAGGCCCGAGAGCCGCCCCTGCAGCCAGCGCGCTGCCCTGCCGAGCCGCGTGTCGCCCGTGGGCGCTGCCTCTGCCCCGTCGCGCTGCCCTGAGGAGCCGTGCGCGACCCCCGCTATCCCGTCGCGTCGCCCTGGGGAGCCGCGCTCGGCCCCCGCTGCCCCGTCGCGACGCCCTGGGGAGCCGCGCTCGGCCCCCGCTGCCCTGTCGCGACGTCCTGGGGAGCCGCGCTCGGCCCCCGCTGACCCGTCGCGACGCCCTAGGGAGCCGCGCGCGACCCCCCGCTGCCCCGTCGCGACGCCCTGGGGAGCCGCGCGCGGCCCCCCCCCCCCCCCCCCGCTGCCCCGTCGCGGCGCCCTGGGGAGCCGCGCGCCGCCCCCCCCCCCCTCGCTGCTGCCCGAGCCACCCTGCAGCCCGCGAGCCGCCTCTACAGCGCCGAGTGCGCTCTGCCAAACCCTAAAATAAATAATTAATTATTAAAAAAAAAAAAAAAAAAAAGGGAGCAGCTGCCCCTGGCCCCTGGAGCAGCCGCCCCTGGAGCAGCCGCCCCTGCAGCAGCCGCCCCTGCAGCAGCTGCCCCTGCAGCAGCCGCCCCTGGACCTCTGCAGCCGCCCCTGGCCCCTGGAGCAGCCACCCCTGCAGCTGCCGCGGAGCCCTCGCCCTGCAGTGGTAGCGGCCTCGCCGTTACCACCGTCGTACGCCTGCCCTTCTCGCCACTGGTGAGCACTGCCCTGCCCGTATTGCTGTTACTGCTGCTCCTGCTGCTACTGCTCTTTCTACTTCTACTGCTGCTCCTGGCGTGGCCAGATGCAGCTCCAGCGCCGTCCGCGTGAGTCCCTCACGCCCCAACAGCTTCGTGAGTGGTATGCTGGTTGGGGTTGTAGGGGTGGCCGCGCTGCTGCTACTACTACTGCTGCTACTACTGCTACTGCTGCTCCTGGCGGTGGCCAGATGCAGCTCCCGCGACGTCCGAGTGAGTCCCTCACGCCCCAGCAGCTTCGTGAGTGGTACGCTCAGCGTGGAGGGTCACGGGGTACTGCTCGCTGCCCGTACGTCATTCGCACTGGTGCTCGGACTGGTCAGCCTTGCGGGACGTTTGGTCACACAGAGTCCCGCTGCTTCGCCCGTCTGAGCGACGCCTGGCGTACAGAGTTTGGCGACGCGGCTGAGCTCCCCGACTGGGTGGAGCTGCTTAGGCAGAGGGTAGATATCTATGCTCTTGACTATGATGCTATCCTCACTGCCATGTATGCATTTCCTACTAGTGCTGAGAGTGCCTGTCACCTGTGTGTGCCACCTGACCCCGGTATCCAGTCTGCTGCTCTAGGTACTGGTGAGGCTGCTGCACTAGGTGCTCGTGTGTCTGTTGCCCCAGGTGCTGGTGAGGCTGCTGCTCTAGGTACTCGTGAGTCTGCACCCTCTGGTACTGCGTCTACTGAGGCACTGCACACCTTCACACTGGACTCAGGCGCTTCCCGCTGTTTCTTTCGTGACCGCACTGCCCTTGAGCAGCTTGCTCGGCCGGTTGCAGTCTCCCTCGCTGACCCCTCTGGGGGTCCGGTCATTGCGACCTCCTCTACTGTTCTCCCTTGTCCTGCGGTCCCGTCGGGCACTCTGTCAGGTCTATACCTCCCCTCGTTCTCTACGAACTTGGTGGCGGGTAGTGCGCTCCAGGACGGGGGTGTCCACCAGTTTACCCCTGCCTACGAGCGTGTGACACACTGCACGTGCGCTCGGACGGGCCGCCACCTGGCTACCTTCACTCGGCAGCCGGGGTCGGACCTGCACACACTGACCACTGAGTCCCCACAGGTAGCTGCGTCTGCGTCTGCGTCGGGTCAGCTGTCTGCCCCCTGCTCGTGTCGCTCTCTGGCACACGAGACTGTCCTCTGGCACCACCGTCTTGGTCACCCGTCAGTGCAGCGCCTTCGTGCCATGCACAACCGGTACCTTGTCTCTGGTCTTCCCAGGGTTCTCCCTCCACTCCCACCCTCGCCTGCTCCTCCCTGCCTTCCCTGTGTCGAGGGGCGGCAGCGCGCCGCTCCTCACTCCTCCTCGTTTCCCCCGACGACTGCTCCCTTGCAGACGCTCCACATGGACGTGTGGGGCCCAGCCCGCGTCCGTGGACAGGGTCAGGAGAGGTACTTCCTGATCGTTGTTGACGACTACTCGCGCTACACCACGGTCTTCCCCTTGCGCACCAAGGGTGAGGTCCCTGATGTTTTGATCCCTTGGATCCGCGCTGCACTCTGACAGAGGTGGTGAGTTCTCCTCTGACCTCTTGGCAGCCTACTGTGCGGAGCACGGCATCCGCCAGTCGTTCACGCTTCCGGCCTCTCCACAGCAGAATGGGGTTGCTGAGCACCGCATTGGTTTGGTCATGGAGGTCGCTCGTACCTCCTTGATCCATGCGGCTGCCCCCCACTTTCTGTGGCCGTTTGCGGTCCGATACGCTGCGCATCAGCTCAACCTCTGGCCCCGTGTCTCCGTTCCGGAGACTTCGCCGACACTGCGTTGGACGGGAGAGGTTGGCGATGCGTCGCGTTTTCGGGTCTGGGGATCCCGAGCTTTTGTTCGCGATACGTTCGCGGACAAGCTCTCCTCCCGCGCTGTTCCCTGTGTCTTCCTTGGCTTTGACCCGGACGCGTCTGGTTGGCAGTTTTACCACGCCACCTGGCGCCGTGTCCTGCCCTCTCAGGACGTCACTTTTGACGAGTCCGTGCCCTACTACCGCCTCTTCCCCTACCGCACTGCCCCGCTCCCCCCCCCGCCTCTCTTCCTCGCGCCAGGTGCTGCTGTGGTAGACCCCCTCCCCCCTCAGGGTGCCGCTCCCTCAGGTGTGTCCCAGGTAGAACCGGTTGAGCCTGTCGAGGTAGCTGTCGACTCTCGTCCTGCCAGGGGTGCTGAGCCTGAGCGTGCGGAGCCTGGGGTTGCGGAGTCTGGGGGTGCTGAGCCTGGGGGTGCGGGGTCTGGGGGTGCGGAGCCTGCGGGTGCTGAGTCTGGGGGTGCTGAGCCTGGGGGTGCGGAGCCTGCGGGTGCTGAGTCTAGAGGTGCTGAGCCTGGGGGTGCTGAGCCTGGGAGTGCTACGTCTGAGAGTACTGAGCCTGAGCGTGCTGCACCTGGGGGAGGCCTCTCCTCGCAGCAGCTGCGTGAGTGGTACTTACAGTACTGCAGCCTCAGGAGAGGTGCTTCTGGAGCTCGGAGTGGTGCCGGAGCTGGTGCTAGTGCTTCCCCTCCTAGGCGGGAGCTGCCCTCTCCCCAGCAGCTCCGAGAGTGGTACGCTAGGCGCTGCAGTCTCCGGAGTGGCGCTCCCGGTGTCGTGGACTCTGGAGCTTCTGGAGTTACTGGAGGTGCTGCTGATGCTGGCGGTGCGGCTGGCGCTGCTGGAGGTGCTGCTTGTGCTGCTGGAGCTGCTGGAGGTACTGCTGCTGCTGGAGGTGCTGCTGGCGCTGCTGGAGGTACTACTGGTTCTGGTGCTGCTGGAGCTGCTGGAGGTGCTGCTGCTGCTGGCGGTGCGGCTGGCGCTGCTGGAGGTGCTGCTGGTGCTGCTGGCGCTGCTGGAGGTGCTACTGGTGCTGGAGCTACTGGAGCTGCTGGTGGTACTGGAGCTGCTGGCGGTGCTGCTGGCGCTGCTGGAGGTGCTACTGGTACTGGTGCTGCTGGAGCTGCTGGAGGTGCTGCTGCTGCTGGTGGTGCTACTGGCACTGCTGGAGGTGCTACTGGTACTGGAGCTGCTGGGGACCCTGCTGCTGCTGGCGGTGCTGCTGGAGCTGCTGGGACTGGCCCTGCTGAGGGGGTTGGAGCTGGAGGTGCTGAGCGGCCACGGCCGTACTACGTTCCGCTCCTTCAGCAGGTTCTTGGCCTTCCGCCCTCTCCTGGTCCTACTCCTCCCCTACTGAGTCCACCGCTTGTCCAGTCGCAGTCACAGTTACAGCCAGTCTCTCCACTTCCTGGTCCTTCTCCCTACACTGCGCCGACGGGAGGTCTTACGGAGCGTCGTGAGCCTGAGTCTCGTCCTCCGTCGCCTGAGACGCGTCCAGAGTCGCCTGTCCGCGCTGTCCGCGCTGGTCGTCGTGTTCCACGTCAGCGTCCTCCTCCTGTCCTTGGCACTCACTATATGACCCTGCGTCCCTCTACTGCTCCACAGCGTGTCCCACTGCCGTCTCCACCAGCGTCCTCTCTTCCTGCTCTTGCTGACCCGGAGTCTGACTCTCTTCGTGCTGCCAGTCCTACTGTCACGCGTCTCCTTGCCACTGCTGTCACTGACCCTTCCTTTGAGTCCTCTGCTGCGTCTGCTCTAGTCGCTGAGCTTGTTGACTTTGCTGCTGCCTGTCGTCTAGACTACGCCGCTAGCCTTGTTGCTGAGTCTGAGTCTGAGTCTGTCTGTCCTCCGTCTGTCGGGGGTGAGTGTGCTCTTGGCACGGACGTCCTTGAGGACAGACAGGAGGAGTTTGAGTGCTTTGCCGCTGCTTTGCCTCATCTCGTGTCCATGCTAGTTGCCCCTGAGGGAGACCCGGATGCACCAGACATCCCGACCCCACGCTCCTACGCAGAGGCGATGGAGGGTCCCTACTCCTCTCAGTGGCAGACAGCCATGGACGCAGAGATGGCTTCCTGGAAGTCCACAGGCACCTACGTCGACGAGGTTCCCCCACCTGGGGCGAACATCGTCAGTGGCATGTGGATTTTCAGGGTGAAGCGGCCGCCGGGTTCTCCGCCTGTCTTCAAGGCGCGTTACGTTGCACGAGGCTTCAGTCAGCGAGAGGGAGTTGACTTCTTCCAGACCTTCTCCCCGACCCCGAAGATGACCACTCTTCGGGTTCTGCTGCACGTCGCTGCTCAGCGTGACTACGAGCTCCACTCTCTTGACTTCAGCACTGCGTTCTTACAGGGCAGCCTGCACGAGGAGATCTGGCTGCGCCGCCCACCTGGCTTCACTGGGTCGTTCCCTCCTGGTACCCAGTGGAGCCTCCGGCGGCCAGTCTACGGTCTCCGCTAGGCACCCCGTGAGTGGCACGACACACTGAGGACTACTCTTGCTGCTCTTGGGTTTGCTCCTTCTACTGCTGACCCGTCGCTGTTTCTACGCACCGACACCACTCTGCCGCCGTTCTACGTTCTTGTTTACGTAGACGACTTGGTCTTTGCTACTGCTGACACTGAGGCACTCGCCCACGTGAAGTCGGAGCTGCAGAAGAGACACACGTGCACAGACCTGGGTGAGCTGACAAGCTATCTTGGCTTGCGGATCACCCGGGACAGAGCACAGCGCACCATCACCTTGACTCAGTCACACATGGTGCAGCAGGTCCTTCAGCGCTTCCGCTTCACGTACTCCTCGCCTCAGCCCACTCCTCTGCCTACCGGTCACTCGCTCTCAGCTCTGCCTTCGGATGAGTCCGTAGAGCCGAGTGGCCCGTATCCAGAGCTTGTGGGCTGCCTCATGTACCTGATGACCTGCACTCGACCTGACCTGGCATACCCTCTTAGCATCCTAGCACGCTATGTCGCTCCCGGCCGTCACCGGAAGGAGCACATGGATGCCGCTAAGAGGGTGTTGCGCTACTTGTGCAGTACGTCGGGCATGGGGCTCGTGCTTGGAGGTCGGAGCGACGTTGTCCTCACGGGTCACTCAGACGCTTCTTGGGCTGACGACCAGGCTACGCAGCGGTCGTCTCAGGGTTACACCTTCAGCCTTGGCTCTGGTTCAGTTTCTTGGCGTTCTACTCGCTCTTCTTCTGTTCTCAGCTCCAGTTGTGAGGCTGAGATCTACGCCACAGCCATGGCTGCACAGGAGTTACGCTGGCTCACCTACCTGCTGACCGACCTGGGAGAGCGGCCTCGTTCTCCTCCAGTGCTGTACGTTGACAACAAGGCCGCCATTGCCTTGTGTGAGGAGCACAGACTGGAGCACAGGACGAAGCACATCGCTCTGCGCTACTTCCTTGCTCGAGAGCTGCAGCAGCGTGGTCAGCTTCGTCTGCGTTACGTGGCCACTCGGGCCAACACTGCTGATGTGTTCACCAAGGCGCTTCAGCCTTGTGACCATCAGCGTTTCTGTACTGTTCTAGGCCTTGTGCCTACTCTCCCTCACTTGCTCACTTCTTGACTCTGCTTGTACTGTGATCTCTATATATATATACCTGCATGTTTACTCTTGTTAGGTTGTGATCACTGTACCTCTTGTTATATTATCAAACTGCATGTGAACTGGTCTTGTGACCACTTGCTTGTGCTCGGAATTTGTGTGGTTTCCTTGAGATCCACCCTGAGCTTGCTTTGCTTTGCTTTGACTGGTCTTGTGACCATCTGGTTGTCTCCCACTTAGCCTATGGGGGTGTGTCAAACATTATACATGTTCATATTGTGTAGGCTATAGTGGGTTTAGCCTTAGGGGGTACAACATTGCTAGGGTTTCCTACTTGTATCACCCTGCTGCCTAGTTTCACACATTCTCGTTCAGTTCTACATTCTAACATCTTCTGGCGGTTGCGCTGCTGGCGGGGGTCTCTGCTGGCGGTTGCGCTGCTGGAGGGGGTCTCTGCTGGCGGTTGCGCTGCTGGCGGGGTCTCTGCTGGCGGTTGCGCTGCTGTCGGGGGTCTCTGCTGGCAGTTGCGCTGCTGGCGGGGGTCTCTGCTGGCGGTTGCGCTGCTGGCGGGGGTCTCTGCTGGCGGTTGCGCAACTGGCGGGGGTCTCTGCTAGCGGTTGCGCTGCTGGCGGGGGTCTCTGCTGGTGGTGGCGCTGCTAGCGGGGGTCTCTTCTAGCGGTTGCGCTGCTGGCGGGGGTCTCTGCTGGCGGTTGCGCTGCTGGCGGGGGTCTCTGCTGGCGGTTGCGCTGCTGGCGGGGTCTCTGCTGGCGGTTGCGCTGCTGGCGGGGGTCTCTGCTGGCGGTTGCGCTGCTGGCGGGGGTCTTTGCTGGCGGTTGCGCTGCTGGCGGGGGTCTCTTCTGGCGGTTGCGCTGCTGGCGGGGGTCTTTGCTGGCGGTTGCGCTGCTGGTGGGGTCTCTGTTGGCGGTTGTGCTGCTGGCGGGGGTCTCTGCTGGCGGTTGCGCTGCTGGCGGGGGTCTCTGCTGGCGGTGTCGCTGCTGGCGGGGGTCTCTGCTGGCGGTTGCGCTGCTGGCGAGGGTCTCTGCTGGCGGTTGCGCTGCTGGCGGGGGTCTCTGCTGGCGGTGTCGCTGGCGTTGTAACTGCTGGCGGTCCCGTTGGCGGCTGCCGGCTGTTGTGGCGAGCTGGCTGGCGCATCGGTGGGAGAGCTGGCGGGCGCGTCGGTTGGCGAGCTGTCTGGCGTGCTCGTCGGCGGGTCCGACGGCGGGGCGAACGCACTGGCGATTTCGCTGGCGAGCCACTAGCGATATCGCTGGCGAGCTCGCGGGTCCGTTGCTGAGCTGGCTGGCGGGTCCGTCGGCGCATCTGTCGGCGGGTCCGCTAGCGAGGGCGTTGGCGGGCTCGGTGACGAGCCCGTCGGCGGGTTCGTCGGCGGGCCCGTTGACTCGCGCGCCGGCGGGTCCGTCGACGGGCTTCCTGATGCGCGCGCTGGCGGGTTCGACGGCGGATTTGCTGACGAGCGCGTTGGCGGGTCCGTCACTGTTGCGGGCGTGCTCGCCATGGGCCGCGCATGCCATGGGAAAAAAAATAAAATATTATCTATGGGCGGGTCTACGGGCAGCGGCAAGCGGTAATGGTGGGCCCATTAACTTAGGTCTAGGAACTTAATCGCTCAATACCATGTCAAGAATCTAACATAAGGGTTTAGGGCCTAGGCTTAGGAGCCTAGGCCAACGTATGTCGAGAGAATCGTGGCCAAGAGAAAGTGAGAATGGTTGAGATTCACTATAGGTTCAGAGAACATATAGCAAAGAACAAACGGGTGCACCACCAAGCAAACAATCAGATAACTACACTACAGTAACTACAGCAAGCAGGATATATTAAATATAACTTCAACGCTTACTCATCCCATACTATGTCCACCGCTTGACCAGTCACAGCCACAGCTACAGCCAGCCCCCCCACTGCCGGATCCCTTGCCTTACATTGAGCAGCCCAGCGGTCTTACGGAGCGTCGTGAGCCTGCGTCTCGTCCTGCGTCGCCTGTTCGCGCTGTTCGCACTGGTCGTCGTGTTCCGCGTCAGCGTCCTCCTCCTGTCCCCGGCACGCACCAGATGGCATTTCGTCCTTCCTCTGTTCCACTGCGTGTCCCCGTGTCGTCTCCTCCTGCGTCCTCTCTTGCTGACGGACCGGACCCTGAGTCTGACTCACTTCGTGCTGCTAGTCCTACTGTCACGCGTCTTCTGCCCACTGTTGTCACTGACCCTTCCTTTGAGTCCGCTGCTGCATCTGCCCTAGTTGCTGAGCTTGTCGACTTTGCTGCTAGCTGTCGTCTTGACTACGCCACTAGTCTTGTCGCTGAGTCTGAGTCTGTGTGTCCTCCGTCCGTCGGGGGTGAGTGTGCTCTTGGCACGGACGTCCTTGAGGACAGGCAGGAGGACTTTGAGTGCTTTGCAGCTGCTGTACCTCATCTCGTGTCCATGCTGATTGCACCTGAGGGAGACCCGGATGCACCAGACCCCGCGCTCTTACGCAGAGGCGATAGAGGGTCCCTACTCCTCTTAGTGGCAGTCAACCATGGACGCAGAGATGGCATCCTGGAAGTCCACAGGCACTTACGTCGACGAGGTTCCCCCTCCTGGGGCGAACATCGTCAGTGGCATGTGGATTTTCAGGGTGAAGCGGCCGTCGGGTTCTCCGCCTGTCTTCAAGGCGCGTTACGTTGCACGAGGCTTCAGTCAGCGACAGGGGGTTGACTTCTTCCAGACCTTCTCCCCTACCCCGAAGATGACCACTCTTCGGGTTCTGCTGCACGTCGCCGCTCAGCGTGACTACGAGCTTCACTTTCTTGACTTCAGCACTGCTTTCCTACAAAGCAGCCTGCACGAGGAGATCTGGCTGCGCCGCCCACCTGGCTTCACTGGGTCGTTTCCTCCAGGTACCCAGTGGAGCCTCCGGCGGCCAGTCTACGGTCTCCGCCAGGCGCCTCGCGAGTGGCACGACACACTGAGGACAACTCTTGCGCCTCTTGGGTTTGCTCCTTCTACTGCTGACCCGTCGCTGTTTCTACGCACCGACACTTACCTGCCGCTGTTCTACATCCTCGTGTACGTCGACGACTTGGTATTTGCCACTGCTGACACTGCTGGACTGGCCCACGTGAAGTCGGAGCTGCAGAAGAGACACACGTGCACAGACCTGGGTGAGCTGCGCAGCTATCTTGGCTTGCAGATCACCCGGGACAGAGCACGGCGCACCATTACCTTGACTGAGTCACACATGGTGCAGCAGGTCCTTCAGCGCTTCGACTTCCAGTACTCCTCGCCACAGTCCACTCCTCTGCCTACCAGTCACTCGCTCTCAGCTCTGCCTTCGGATGAGTCCGTAGAGCTGATTGGCCCGTATCCAGAGCTTGTGGGCTGCCTCATGTACCTGATGACCTGCACCCGACCTGACCTTGCTTACCCTCTTAGCATCTTGGCACGCTACGTTGCACCCGGGAGACACCGACCAGAGCACTGGAAGGCCGCTAAGAGGGTGATTCGCTACTTGTGCAGTACGTCGGGCATGGGGCTCGTGCTTGGAGGACGGGCTCGAGTTGTCCTCACTGGTCACGCAGATGCCTCTTGGGTTGACGACTTGGCTACGCAGCGGTGGTCACAGGGTTACACCTTCAGCCTTGGCTCCGGTTCTGTTTCGTGGCGGTCTACCCGCTCGTCTTCAGTTCTCAGCTCCACTTGTGGGGCTGAGATCTACGCAGGGGCCATGGCTGCACAGGAGTTACGCTGGCTCACCTACCTGCTGACCGACTTGGGAGAGGCGCCTCGTTCTCCTCCAGTTCTGTACGTCGACAACAAGGCCATGATTGCCTTGTGTCAGGAGCAAAGACTGGAGCACAGAACGAAGCACATTGCTCTGCGCTACTTCCTTGCTCGAGAGTTGCAGCAGCGTGGTCAGCTTCGTCTTGTTTACGTGGCCTCTCAGGCCAACACTGCTGATATCTTCACCAAGGCACTTCAGCCTTGTGATCATCAGCGTTTCTGTACTGTTCTAGGCCTTGTGCCTACTTGGCCTCACTTGCTCACTTCTTGACTTTGCTTGTACTGTGATATGTATACTTATACCTGCATGCTTGCACTTACTAGGTTTTGATCACTGTACTGCTTGTTCTTTATTATATAACTCTGCATGTGAACTGGCCTTGTGGCGATTTGTTTGCGCTCAGAGTGTGTGGTGACTTCGTGATCCACCCTGAGCTTGCTTTGTTTTGTTGTTTCTCTTGACTGTTCTTGTGACCATTGCTTTCTCTGGCTATCCCCCATTTCGCCTATGGGGGTGTGTCAAAACATATATGCTTATGTGTTGTAGGCTATATGGGTGTTAGCACTAGGGGGTACAAAATTTCTCTCGATGTTGTTCTTGTACCCCTCCCCCTTGACCTAATCACCATTCCTTCCTAGTATTCTAACATGGAGCATTTCCGAAGACAACAGGTACGCAGTAATCGAGGGCGTACCTTTCTGCCCACGGGGGCTGAGCGTGCTGGGGAGCTACATAGGACCAAATGAGGGAGTCGCGGTTTCCTTGGGAGGCTGCGCCGCATTGTTCTGGCCACTAGGGCCTCCACCCTCGCTCTGCAAGTGACCTTTGGCGGCATTAAGGCAGGTGCGGACGCTCACGTCAAGATCAATAACAGCTGTTTTGAGCTCCTTGTACGTAGTGTACTGGTTCCTGCCCAGCACGAGCCTCTCGCGAAGCCACTGAGGCAAGCATAGTCCGTCCGAAGTCGTTGGCATACTCCTGCACAGTTCGTGTTCCACACTGCATGCTCTTGATGAGGTTGCACACTTCCAGATCAGTCTTTTGCACATGGAAAGCGTCCTTCATCGCGCTGCAAAAATCGGACCATTCGAAGGTGGCCGACGTTGCCCAGGCAAGCTTCATAGTGCTGTAGACTGTTTTACGAGCAGTCTCATCGAGAGCACCAGTAGCAGCAATAACGCGTGCGTCAGGGAACACATTGTGGATGGAAAGAAAATCCTCCACATGATGAAGCAAAAAATCCGCGTTCGTCTTGCCATAAATGAAGTTCGGCAAGGCAGTGAGGAGCGACTTAAATGCAGGTGCGTCAGGCGACATCGGGTGCTCCGTTGGAGCTCCGGCAGAAGTAGGAGGCTGCCCATTGTGAGGAGGGGGACGATATATACCGCCCCTCCTGAGCTCTCTATAATTCGCTTGCAGCGTCGTACAGGTCGATTCCAGGTTGATACATGTAGCATTCAGCTGCTTCAAAGTTTCCTCAAGGCTCTTGATCTGGTTGGCCTTGAGGTCAAGAGACCTTTTAAACTGACGAGCGACGGCATAAACTTTGTTGAGCTCAGCTTGGATCGTTTCGATTGAAACATTCTGCTCAGCAACTTGAGCCTCAAGCTCATTGACTCTGCGTTTCTTCTACAGCAAGGAAGATGCTTGCTCGGCCACCGTGGATTGAAGTTTTTCAAACTCCTCCGGAAAGTTGTCATTGGTGCCGAGATCATCAAGCCCTTCCTGTTCTCCATTCTCTTCCTGGTTTCCCAGTGCTTCTTCCTCTTCCACAGGAAGGTCCCCTAGCTCTTCAGCATTAAGGTCAAGGTTAGGAAAGTCTTCCAGTTTCTCAACTGAGGTCACAAGGACATCCTCCTTTGGTGCTTCCTCATGAGGAGTAGCCATATTGCAGTTGTTAAGAGTTGGAGCTTAAGGAGAATGTTTCTCTTTTGTTAAGAAATATGATCTTGATAAGAGTCATCTACCACCCAAGGTGATAGGCAAGGGATTCAGAAAAAAATCAGAAAGGGATCTTTTAAACAGTTCAATATTCTCACATAGAGAAAGTTTTAGAATAAGAGTTGTTAAGTAAGTCTTCTATTCCAGGAAGGAAATAGAGAGAGTTCCCCAAACTGCTCAAAGAGCGAGTTAAGAGGGATCTTTTAACAAATCTCTTAGAACTGTAATACTCCGATATTGTAAAAATAGCAATGAGTCTTCCACTAAGAAGGTGGGCAGAAAAATAAATTCTCTTAAAGCTCAAAAGAGCTTGTAGATCTTGGAGATCCTTGAAGAAGATTTTTTTACCTTGGGAGTTTCTCAAATCTTCTCAAAGAAAGAGCTTTAGGCTATGCTAGATCTAAGATCTAGAAACTAATTTTACAAAATATAGTTAGCTACACAGGGCCAAGGATAACCAAAGCTCTGAATACCAGATGTAACACGGGCTTACAATGAAATGCCCTTAAATTTATAACAAAGACCTGGGCTTATAACCAATGCCCACAAAAGGGTCTATAATAGGCTTATAAAACGCCAATAACAAACACACACAAGATAAACTAGTCCCTATGCTAGCCTTGAGTCTTGGAGACTTGGTAGTTGAAGCTTCAAAGGTGATGGAGTAGCTTCACCAAAAAGGTTGTTGTAGCATAGAGCACCTGTGAGGGAGAAACCATATACTTAGAGAGAATATACCAATTCCAAAATTGGTGTATTGGAGTTGGGAATGAGAGAATGAGCCTTGGGCTTCAAACCCCTTCCTCAATACCCCTTGGGGAGCTCCACCTCCTCCATGGCAACAAGGGCAAGGAGCTCCTTAAGGTGAGTTTGCTTAGGTGGCATGTTGGTTGGATTTGCAACCAATAAGAGCAACTCATTTGTGATAAGAATTGTTTGGTTACCTGTTGTAACTTGTAACAGCAAGGTTGAAATTTTATTGGTTTGAATTTCCACCAATGTGAAGGTTGGGTTGGTTCCCAACCTTGTTTGTCTTTTAGTGGGTGGTGATCCACAATTGTGGACCAATCAACCTTCATCCCTTCCAACCCTTTCTTCCCGTCAGTCGCTACATTACGTAGGTAGCGCTTTAGAGAGCCGTAGCTAGGATAGTCGCTAGGGTAGGTTGGTGACACGTTACAAAGCACGCACCGTAGCATTGCACTGCGCGACGTCGGTAGCATTGCACGGCGTCGTTGGCTTGTGCCCTGCGCATTTTCGGTCGCGCAACTCGCGATACAAGGTTGTACTTCCGACATTCGGATTGGCTCCACGGCATTAAAAAATATAGTCCAGGCAGGGGAGATACGTTGATGAATGGACAAGGAGAAAGCAGGCAAGGGAGGGAAGATGGAAGAAGAGGAAAGGAGGGAGGTGCATCTCACCTCAGATCAGACATGCACACGCGCTAGAATTCAAATGTTCTCCGCCATGCACGACCGGATTCGCCTCTCCCTCTGGAGTCCATCCTTGTCACTCGGCATCGATCTCGCACGTTCGATTTCAACCATGTTGAAACATACGAAGAGCGCACATCACCGCATTGCGCCGCGGAATGTTACACTCCTCCCATGGTGCTGGGGATCGAATATAAGATGACGGATCGCGGAGTATCAAGGAGCGCACATGTGCATAGTCCCCAGCGAACAGCATGGCGATGCGAATTAGGACCCCATCGACATCTCTTCGCTGCCCCCCAGCCTTCGGCCCTGCTCGCACGTCTCTGCCGTCCCTCAAATCGCCCGATCCCTCCAACAGCCCTGCACGCTCGGTTTTCCTCACCAGCACTGGCAGTATTTTACGGTTATCGGACTAAATTAACGAGGGAAATTGGTTACACCTCGTGGCGCATCATGGCATGGCCTACTCGAGGCTCCACTGCATTGCATCATTCCCGACCCGGCGCCCTACGATCACCAATTCGTTCTCGTTGCGGCGTCTCGCTCCTTTCGTGGCTCCCAGAGGGAGTGCAAACTCGGAAATCGATGCTCTATGTAGCCTTCTAGGGTTGATAGTCGCCGAAATTCGTTCAGCGCGATGCATTTCAGTCTGAGATTAGGGTTACAAAAGGGCGTGGATGAAATTTTCACGCGAGAGTTCGGAACAACGGTTCGATTCGGATGGGACGCACAGGTCGGTCGAGATGGATTTTTTTTTTTTCTTCTTCTTGTACATTACAAGAATGCACAGACATCGGCAGTCGTAACTGTTTCAGGGAGGGGAGCGCTACAATTACCAGTATCGCAGATCCCCTCTAAAGCAGCTACGATGGTTGATGTGTCATCTTCGGGTTGTCCGAAATTGAGCTGAAACTGATCCTCCACGTCAGCGGTGCGCAGCTGCTGCAGATTCGTCGCATCACCGTCGCCTCATCGGCTGCCAGATGTGCCCAGTAGCCGTTCACCGCCTGCCCCTTCTTCCGCGCTGTCACTTCGCGCGCCAAGCAGTACACCCTTGCATGTGTGACAAAATTTACCACTTCCTGTCGGGCCACCCTCCCGGCTTGGAAAGTCCCATTCCTCCATGTCGCGTTGCACCTCGCCAACCATACTTGGTGCAAAACGGTTGCAATCCACGTCCCTTCCAGAAATCCCGACTTCGTGCTCCATTGCATGAAGAGCAGATCTTCAAGGTCTTGCCACGCCAACTCCGGATTCGTTGCCGCCAACCCTCGCCTCAGCAGGCCTGTCACCTCCTGCACCGCTGGGCAGCTGAGAAGGGTGATCTGGAGTTTCCTCCCCCTGACTGTGCAGGCAGACCACCCCCATGAAAAACAGCCTCGAGCCCACTTGCAGGTTCCTACAGTGGAGCCTTAGAAGAATTTCACGTGCCCGTCGTGAAGTGAGGCCCTCTGCTCGATGATTCTGTCCCATTCGATTTCTCTCCTCTGTCCTTCCCATCTCCTTTGACTCCCCTGCGTGCCAGCCGAGCTTGCTATCGCCTTCCTAATTCCCTTCAGTGGGAGCAGCTCTCCTCCTTCACACGCCTCTGATAGCAGCAGTTTTGTGCGCACGTCTCCCGTGGGCCCCAGGAACACGCAGCCTTCTGTGAACATTGGCACCCCGCTTCGTAGACCAAAATCCACTATAAGGTTCCCCGCGTAAGGCGTGAAACGCCCGTTGTCCTCCACGTCACACAACCTTCCCACCACTTTACCCCCCTTCGCCTCCTTGACTTGCCAGTAGATGAAGTCCCCGATGGTTCTGTTCTGCGTCCGTAGTAGCTTCACCGTGGCTACCACCTCCTCGCTGGTCAGCCTCGCGAGCACCATCTCTTTCCAGCCCGGGGGTGCCGCGTTGAAAGCTTTTAACGCCCATTTCACTTTTTCTTTGCTTCCCAATTCCCTTGCCAGGACCTCCAACTTTTTTAGGCTGCACGTCCCGTCCATCGATTTCTCGATCAGGTCTCCCATATGCATGCCCAGCAGCACCTCCGTTCCCTTCTGATTCCCGAAAGGGCTCGCGCCTCTGAAGGGGATGCCCAGGTTGAACGCCATGTGTTCCTGCTCCACCTCCCGCCGGTTCGATGGCACACGCGCATTACACAACGGCGAGTCCCAGAATTTCCCGACCAACTCCTTCCATCGTGTGCTCCCTTTCAGCCAGTGGCCCAACAGTGACTTGTGTGCGAAGATGGTGTCCCACCCCAGGGGCATCCGCTTTCTCCGCCAGCCATTTCTTGACGGAGTTTGGCCTCAACACCAGGCGACAGATGTACTGTATTGCGATGATGTCAACCCTCTACTCGGGGCAGATCAGGCCCAGACCTCCTTTCTTCCGAGGTGTGCAGACCAAGTCGTAGTTCTAGAGGACGAACCGCTTCTCCTCTACCGCCTCCCCTTTCGACACGAAGGTATGACACAACTTGTGGATTTTTTTTCCAAATATCCTCCGGCGGCAAGTAGACTTGCGCTTGAAACAGGAAAATCGGCACGATGTAGTTGTTGACTATCGTCACTCTCGCCGACGTCGTCAGATGCCGTACTTCCCACTTCGCTAACTCCCCCTTCACTCTGTCCAGCGCATTGTTCCAGGAGGGGGCCGGGTCCCCGCTGGGAGTAATCCAAATCCCCAGGAGGCACTCCGGCTCGTCTTTGTCCGCCCACTTGTATTGCAGGTTCTGCGGTGCCAGCTTCCCTCGGTTCTTCCCCAGCGGGAATACCACTGTCTTCCCCTTGTTCACCTTCAACCCCGACTCCTCGCCAAAGCTGGCCAACACCTTTGCCGCTGTCTCCAGCTGCTCTTCTCCTTGCAGAAGGAGAGAAGTGTCATCGGCGTAACCCAAATACGCCAGCTTGCCAATTTCCCTTCATCCCTATTACCAGTTTCTTACGGTTGATTTCATGACACAGCGGCTCAACGGCGCAGAGGAAGAGGTACGGCGCCAACGGGCACCCTTGGCGCACCCCCTTTTCCACCGCCACGTTTTCACCTGTCCACCCGTCGATATGTAAGCGTGTACCCGCCTCCTTGTGCAACCCCTCCGTCCAGGTTACAAAATCTTCCGGCAGACCCAACTTCCGCGGCGTTTTGAAAAGGTAACCCCGCGAGATGGAGTAGAACGCCTTCTGAAAGTCCACCATAAGCAGGTAACAGTCCTCCTTCCCACTGGCACCTGCGTCAATGGCATCCGCTACCACAGCCACCACGTCCGCCAGCTGCCGACCAAGTATGAAGCCGTACCGATCCTCTGAAGATATCTCGTGCAGCACCTTTTTAGGCCTGCTCGCCATTAATTTCGCCACAATCTTGTACACCGTGCTCAGGAGCGTTATTAGTCGGTAGTTCCCCAGATCCTCGTTGTCCCCTTTTTTATGCAGCAAAATGGTCACCGTCGTTGAGGCGCTTTGCGGTAATTCCTCTTCCCGTGTGAAGCATCCCACCAGCTTCATCAGCACCGGACCCAGAAGATCCCAATTGCGGTTGAAAAGCTCCTTCGGCAACCCATCCGTGTATTCCCTCTCCCGCTTCTCCCGCTTTCCCCCGCCCCCATACTACTCCTCGACTCGCTTCCTTTCGGCCCAGCCATTCATAATCAATTGCTGTGACTTCCCCTGCGTGCCTTCCGCCTGCCTCACCTCATGCTCGCTTACCTGGAAGGCCAACCAACGCAGGAAAACATAACTTGTCACACCGTCGGGTGCTTCAGGTATGGCCGCCATTCCTCGTCTCCATTCACACAATCTACTCCACCCCACGTCCATTTTTTGCCTCTCCAGTATCCTCCTGCCTGAGCGCAAAACCCCTTCGTCCATCCGCCCTTCCTCTTTCTCCACTGGTGCTCCTGCCTGTGCTCACGTGCCAAGGATTCGAGAAAGTTGAAGGTCATTATCGCCCTGTTTTGAGACGTCTCAGAGCAGATCTGATATTCGTGAAGCGCAAGGTCATTTTTGTCCTGTTGCTCTGTTGCTCTGCATGTGATAGTCGTTCACAACTGACTGAACCATGACCTCCTTTTAAAACTGATTGAATGCTGTGCGTGAGGAAGTCAGCCACAATCTCCCTCTCCTCCCCTCCCCCCTCTCAGCTACTACCGCTATTCCCGTTCTTCCCCCTGCTACTGCTGCTATTCCCTTCCTTCCCCTTGCTACTACCGCTATTCTTCCCCCCCTTGCTACTCAGTAGCCCACACCATCTCCATTCACGTGACCCCCATGTCGATATGGTTCCTTCCGAGCCATCCTTCTGTATGCACTCAATGCATCCCTCCTCCACCGCTGCCGCTCCCCGCCTTCCTTCCTCTGGCTGCTGCTCCTGCTGTTCCCCACCCGCTTGTTCACTCCGGCCGCTATTCTCCTCCGCTCTCTGCTGCTGCCACTGCCCCTCCCCTTTCCCTGGATCCTGTCGCCATTTCCCATGCTGCAGGCACACTCCACGCACTGATATCGCCCCATTAGCCATGCATCGGATAGCTGCACTGGCCATGGACTGTTGCTCCTGGGTGGCCCGCCTTCGCTCTCGGGTGGACTGTTGCTCTCTGTCATTGTGGGTATGGCTGGGACTCACGGGGTGAGTGAGGCGAAGGAAATGAGAATGAGGGCGATTGGCGGGCAGCTGGAAGAGACACGGGGGGAATTGGCAGCAGCGAGGGGGGAAGTGGAGGAGGCTAAGAGGAGGCGAGAAGCAGACTTAAGGGAGCTGAGAGGACAGGTGGAGTGGAGGAGAGGACGAGGGGTTGGGAAAAGGCTGAGAGCAGACAAGGAGAGGAGTTGAACAAGTGGTTTGAGACGTCTGCAAAGCACTTCTTCAAAGACGCACCTTGGACTGACTCAAGAATCTCTTCCCCAGAGAGCTGCCAGACCAATGGACTGCCAGGCTGGCAGAAACCATCACGGGGCATGAGTAAGTGGTGTGTGGTGGGTGGTGGGGAGGCAAGGTTTTTCACGTTGGCCAGTGCAAAGAGTGGGAGCGAGGCAAGGAATAGTCAGCAACAATGGATGCGTTACACCACGGTCTTCCCCTTGCAGCGCAAGGGGGGCGTCCCTGGTGTTTTAATCCCTTGGATCCGCGTTGTTCGTCTCCAGCTCCGCGAGTGTTTCGAGTCGGACTTTCCTGTCCTTCGTCTGCACTCTGACAGAGGTGGTGAATTCGCCTCCGACCTCTTGCGAGCCTTCTGTGAGGAGGAGGGCATCCGCCAGTCGTTCACGCTTCTGGCCTCTCCGCAGCAGAATGGGGTTGCTGAGCGCCGCATTGGCTTAGTCATGGAGGTTGCTTGTACCTCCATGATCCATGCGGCTGCTCCCCATTTTCTGTGGCCGTTTGCGGTCCGGTACGCCGCGCATCAGCTCAACCTCTGGCCCCGAGTCTCCGTGCCGGAGACTTCGCCCACACTACGTTGGACGGGGGAGGTTGGCGATGCGTCGCGATTACGGGTCTGGGGTGCTCGTGCCTTTGCCCGCGATACCACTGCGGACAAGCTCTCCGCACGCGCCATTCCCTGCGTCTTCCTTGGCTTCCCCCCTGACGCGCCTGGCTGGCAGTTTTACCACCCCCCCTCGCGCCGAGTCTTTGCGTCTCAGGACGTCACCTTTGACGAGTCGGTCCCTTTTTACCGTCTCTTTCCCTACCGCACTGCCCCTCTTCCCCCCCCGCCGCTCTTTCTCGCTCCAGGTCCCGCCCAGGTAGACCCCCTCCCCCCTCTAGGTCCTGCTCCTTCAGGTGTGTCTCAGGTAGACCCTCCTCCCTTGACTGAGCCTGTTGAGGTCACTGGTGACTCAGGTCCTGCTGAGGGTGGTCGTGCTCGGGGTTCTGCTTCTGGGGGTGCTGAGCCTGGGGGTGCAGAGCCTGGGGGTGCTGAGCTTGAGGGTGCAGAGCCTGGAGGTGCTGAGCCTGAGGGTGCGGAGCCTGGAGGTGCTGAGCCTGGGAGTGCTGAGCCTGGGGGTGCTGCACCTGGGGGTACTGCAGCGCCTGGTGAGCAGTCTCCTTGGAGCGGCCGCCTACGTAGTCGCTCCGCTGGTGCCTCGCCGCAGCACTCTCGTCGGCGTGTGCCTCTCTCCACACAGCAGCTGCGTGAGTGGTACGCTAGCCGTCAGGGTTACGCTGCTGGAGCTGGGGGCCCTGCTGCGGGAGGCGCTGGCGTTGGAGGCACTGGAGCTGGTGACTCTGCTACTGGAGGTGCTTCTGGTGACGTCACTGGAGCTGGGGGTGCCGGTTCTGGGGGTGCCAAGTCTGAGCGTGCTGAGACTGGAGGTACTTTGTCTACTGGAGTTACTAGAGCCGCTGGTCCCGGAGGTGCTCATACAGGAGGTACAGGAGCTGCTGGAGCTGGAGGTACTGCTGGACCTGGAGGTGTTGCTGGAGACACTGAGGCTGGAGACCCTGGGGCTGGAGGTGCCGGTTCTGGGGGTGCGGCTGCTGGTGGCGCTGGTACTGGAGGTACTGGCGCTGGAGGTTCTGGAGCTGCTGGAGGTGCTGGCGCTGGAGGCGCTGGAGCTGGAGGTGCTGGAGCAACTGGTGCTGGTGGCACTGCACAGCCGCGACTGTTTTTCGTTCCGCCGTCACCGTCGTCTCTGCCACAGCCTGACTCCGTGCTTCGCCAGGTTCTTAGCCTCCCGTCTTCTACTGGTCTTCCGTTGCAGCCTGGCTCACCACTGCCTGCTCCTTCTCCTTACACTGAGCAGACAGGAGGTCTTACTGAGCGTCGTGAGCCTGCGTCTCGTCCTGTCTCGCCTGTTCGCACTGTTCGCACTGGTCGTACTGGCCGTCGTATTCCTCGTGAGCGTCCGCCTCCCATCCCTGGAACGCACCTCATGGCACTTCGTCCTTCCTCTGCTCCACAGCGTGTTCCCCTACCGTCCCCTCCTGCGTCTTCTCTGCCTGACGTTCCAGACCCTGAGTCTGACCGGGTTCGTGCTGCTCACCCTACTGTCACGCGTCTGCTCGCCACTGTTGTCACTGACCCTTCGTTTGAGTCCACTGCTGCGTCTGCCTTGGTCGCTGAGCTTGTTGACTTTGCTGCAGCCTGTCGTCTAGACTACGCTGCTAGTCTTGTCGCAGAGTCTGAGTCTGTCTGTCCTCCGTCCGTCGGGGGTGAGTGTGCTCTTGGCACGGACGTCCTTGAGGACAGGCAGGAGGACTTTGAGTGTCTTGCAGCTGCTGTACACCATCTCGTGGCCATGCTGCTTGCCCCTGAGGGAGACCCGGATGCACCAGACATCCCGACCCCGCGCACTTACGCTGAGGCGATCGCGGGTGAGTACTCCTCTCAGTGGCAGACAGCCATGGACGCAGAGATGGCATCCTGGAAGTCCACAGGCACTTACGTCGATGAGGTTCCCCCTCCTGGGGCGAACATCGTCGATGGCATGTGGATTTTCAGGGTGAAGCGGCCGCCGGGTTCTCCGCCTGTCTTCAAGGCTCGTTACGTTGCTCGATGCTTCAGTCAGCAGGAGGGAGTTGACTTCTTCCAGACCTTCTCCCCCACCCCGAAGATGACCACTCTTCGGGTGCCGCTGCACGTTGCTACTCAGCGTGACTACGAGCTTCACTCTCTGGACTTCAGCACAGCCTTCTTACAGGGCAGTCTGCACGAGGAGATCTGGCTGCGTCGCCCACCTGGCTTCACTGGGTCGTTCCCGCTTGGTACCCAGTGGAGCCTCCGTCGGCCAGTCTACGGTCTCCGTCAGGCGCCTCGTGAGTGGCACGACACACTGAGGACGACACTTGCGGCTCTTGGGTTTGCCCCTTCCAGTGCTGACCCGTTGCTGTTTCTGCGCACCGACACTTCGCTGCCGCCGTTCTACATCCTCGTGTACGTCGACAACTTGGTCTTTGCCACTGCTGATACTGAGGCTCTCGCCCTGGTGAAGTCGGAGCTGCCGAAGAGACATTCGTGCACAGACCTGGGTGAGCTGCGCAGTTACCTTGGCTTGCAGATCACCCGGGACAGAGCACGCCGCACCATCACACTGACTCAGTCACACATGGTGCAGCAGGTCCTTCAGCGCTTCGGCTTCACCTGGTCCTCGCCACAGCCCACTCCTCTGGCTACAGGTCACTCGCTCTCAGCTCCACCTTCGGACGAGTCCGTAGAGCCGAGTGGTCCATACCCAGAGCTAGTGGGCTGCCTCATGTACCTGATGACCTGCACTCGGCCTGACCTTGCGTACCCTCTTGGCCTTCTGGCTCGCTACGTGGCTCCTGGTAGGCACCGAAAGGTGCACATGGATCCTGCTAAGTGGGTACTTCGCTACTTGTACAGTACATCGGGCATGGGGCTCGTGCTTGGAGGACGGGGTGACGTTGTCCTCACTGGACACTCTGACGCTTCTTGGGTTGACGACCTGGCTACGCAGCGGTCGTCACAGGGTTACACCTTCAGCCTTGGCTCCGGCTCTGTTTCTTGGCGGTCTACACGCTCGTCTTCTGTTCTCAGCTCCATTTGTGAGGCTGAGATCTACGCCGCAGCCATGGCTGCACAGGAGTTACGCTGGCTCACCTACCTGCTGACCGACTTGGGAGAGAGGCCTCATTCTCCTCCAGTTCTGTACGTCGACAACAAGGCTGTCATTGCCTTGTGTCAGGACCACAGACTGGAGCACAGAACAAAGCACATCGCCCTCCGTTACTTCCTTGCTCGAGAGTTGCAGCAGCGTGGTCAGCTTCGTGTCGTTCACGTGCCCACCCGGGCCAACACAGCTGATGTGTTCACCAAGGCCCTTCCGGCTGGTGATCATCAGCGCTTCTGCACTGCTCTAGGCCTGGTGCCTACGTTTCCTCACTTGCTGTAGGCTTTGCTTGTACTGTGATCTATACATATATACCTGCATGCTTACTCTTGCTAGGTAGTGATCACTGTACTGTTCTTGTTGCATATATACCTCTGCATGTGAACTGGCCTTGTGGCCCTTTGCTTGTGCTCAGTGTGTGTGGTGACGTTGTGATCCACCCTGAGCTTGCTTTGCTTTTCTTGATTGGTCTTGTGACCCCTTGTTCTCCCCCACTTTGCCTATGGGGGTGTGTCAAATCTGTAGTATAATCTGTAGGCTGTAGTGGGGTAGCCCATATGGGGTACAACCCAATGTTAGGGTTTCCCAAACTTCCTCATAGTTCATTCATTCCTGCTAGATCATTCTGACAGTTTTGCCCGCCCCGCTCCCGACCCCCTAGTCTGGAGGCACTGGCAGGTCTGAAGGACCCCATCCGCTCACTCTCTCTCGACGCCATCGCCACACGCCAGCGATCTTCCCTCCGCCACACCCGACCTACACCTGTTGCCGCTGCGGCTGGCAGCATCCCAGAAGCGTCCGAAACTGACCCTGACAATGACAATGACTCCGCTGCTGCAGCCGGGGAGGAAGATCGGCCGTTAGGAGCAGCGGCACGAGAAGCAGCAGGAGCAGCAGGAAACCCATCCCATGCATCAGACGCATTTGAGGTGCCCAAGGAGGTGGCGCGCATGCTCACCTTTCTGCTGGACTCCGGCCAGGACATCTCATCCGCCTTTGACCCCATCGCTCTCGGCATCGACCTTTCTCTCGACCAGGAAGACAGCACTCGTGTGCCCCACTTCCCCTCCTCGCAGTCCACCCTGCACGGGCACCCTCACTCACTCTCGCACACGCGCAGCGCGAGTCTGTCGTCCGATGTGCTGTCTGTTGCGGTTAGTTCCCTCTCCACCACTCCCGAAAGCAGCTTCAACAGCAACCCCAGCAGCAGCAGCAGCCCCGGCAGCAGTAGCAGCAGCTTCGCCAGGAGCAGCAGCAGCGCTGGGGCTGGTGCAGGTGGTGTGCTTCCGCAGCTGTCTCGCAATTTGAGTCAAGGCGGAGTGGCAGGGCTGTCTACCGCTGCTGCTCTAGCTGTAGCTGCTGCTGTTGCAGGCGCCGTGGGTGCTGCTGCAGGGGCAGTGGGAGCAGCCGCAGCAGACCTCGCAGCAGGAGGAGGGGGAGGTGGAGCAGGAGCAGGGACAGGGGAAGCGGAAGGGGCAGAGTCGACACAGTTCCTAGCGGCCAAGGCAGCAGCACTGGGTGCAGTAGCTCAGGAGCTGCAAATTGCACCCATCCGTCTCGCACTTGACACTGGCACACCGTTCCCCACCGAAACCTCCCCCCTCACCATGGCTCGTGCACTTGTGTCTTTCCTCTTAGCCCTCCCCGAGCCTATTATTCCGCCAAGCGTGGGGGAGGACGTGGCGCGCAGGGAGGGGTGGGCACGGGTGTCTGCAGCTACGTTGCTGGCGGAGCGATTGGGTGCGGTGCAGCTGGGTGTGGTGGACTCGCTGCTGGCGCTGATCCAGGCGCTGCTGCGGAACAGCATTGTGAACCGACTCGCCATTCATGAGCTGGGTATGTTGTACAGTGCACAGTGCCGAGTGTACAATGCTGCTGCTTATATCCTGTTTCCGTCAGTTCATGTTTCTGGTATTTCACTCATCATGTTGCTTCGCTTCCTGTTGTTTTGCAGCTGCCATCCTGGCCTACTGCCTCTTTGGGCCTGTGCCGGCGTTCACAAATGACGAGATGGGGATTGCGACCGCCACGGATGCCGTGAGGATTGTGAAGAGACGGAGAAGATTCATGCGCCTGCTGATTGAGGATACTCGGCTCCGTTCCAAGTGAATTATCCGTACAGTTGAGGTTTCACTTATGATACAATGCCTACAAACCTTTCAGCTACGGCATGTGACATATGGTAGCATGATTACCTCTAGCTAGCTGGGCACTCCGGTAATATATGGTTATCTGCAGTCTATGCACTGTGCTTGTGCGTTAGCTGATCATCTTACACGGAGAAATTTAATACGGTACATAAGGAATCTCCATAAGGGGGGTGGTGGTAGTTTGACACCTGAGTTGTTACACTAAGTATGCACCACTATGCAAATGCCACACTCCATTGTCAAAACCAGGCCATACTGTGGCTTCAATTACCCCTGAATGAGGTGATGACAGGCACCAAACATTTACAGACATTTCAAACCCTAAGAGAGACACACGTGATATGACATGACCCACCTTCCTGTCGCTAGGTAGATCTCTTTGGGCTAGGCGGTAATGGCACTGACGAATCGTCCAGGCCCATAACAAAAACCAAAACCAATCTGACGGTAACGGTCTAATCTGTGCTGCCATGAATGTGATCTTTGAGCCTTTCTCAATTGGTCGGGGCGGAAGAGAAATTCATTTTGATCAACCAGTTGGGTAGGATTTCTAGACTCCTAGACGTTTTGTGCCTTTGAGCAGATACCATGGCCAGAAGTTTAGGGCAGTGCAAGACATTTTATGACCTTTGCATCAGAATCCCCTGCACAGCACCATAAGAAGGTTCAGAGAAGATAAAGAAGTGTTGAGGAATGCAAGGCAAATGGGGTTGTATGAGACAAAGCTCATTCGGGTCGCGTCGAAAACTGGAGAGGCAAACGTTGAAGCAGAACGAAGGATGAGTCACGAGTCATTTGGAGGTTAAGTGACAGACCGAGCTGATGTGATCAAGTTGTGTGCTTCAGTACAAAGCACGATTTTCCTGATAGAAGAAACACTAATCCAGATAGCAAAGACAGGCCCTCTCTATATAAGGACAAAGATACCTTCTCTCCCCGTCGCCCCACATCCCATGTGCACAGCTCGCCCATCATGCATCGCCCCACATCCCATGTGCACAGCTCGCCCATCATGCATCGCCCCACATCCCAAGTGCACAGCTCGCCCATCATGCATCGCCCCACATCCCATGTGCACAGCTCGCCCATCATGCATCGCCCCGCATCCCAAGTGCACAGCTCGCCCATCATGCATCGCCCCACATCCCATGTGCACAGCTCGCCCATCATGCATCGCCCCACATCCCATGTGCACAGCTCGCCCATCATGCATCGCCCCGCATCCCAAGTGCACAGCTCGCCCATCATGCATCGCCCCGCATCCCATGTGCACAGCTCGCCCATCATGCATCGCCCCACATCCCATGTGCACAGCTCGCCCATCATGCATCGCCCCGCATCCCAAGTGCACAGCTCGCCCATCATGCATCGCCCCGCATCCCATGTGCACAGCTCGCCCATCATGCATCGCCCCGCATCCCATGTGCACAGCTCGCCCATCATGCATCGCCCCACATCCCATGTGCACAGCTCGCCCATCATGCATCGCCCCGCATCCCATGTGCACAGCTCGCCCATCATGCATCGCCCCGCATCCCATGTGCACAGCTCGCCCATCATGCATCGCCCCACATCCCATGTGCACAGCTCGCCCATCATGCATCGCCCCACATCCCATGTGCACAGCTCGCCCATCATGCATCGCCCCTCATCCCATGTGCACAGCTCGCCCATCATGCATCGCCCCACATCCCATGTGCACAGCTCGCCCATCATGCATCGCCCCACATCCCATGTGCACAGCTCGCCCATCATGCATCGCCCCGCATCCCATGTGCACAGCTTTCCCATCCCGCGCATCACCCCACGTCCCATCATCCCAATCGCTTGCCCATACCTGCAGCTCTTGCCCATACCTGCAGCTCTTGCCCATACCTGCAGCTCTTGCCCATACCTGCAGCTCTTGCCCATACCTGCAGCTCTTGCCCATACCTGCAGCTCTTGCCCATACCTGCAGCTCTTGCCCATACCTGCAGCTCTTGCCCATACCTGCAGCTCTTGCCCATACCTGCAGCTCTTGCCCATACCTGCAGCTCTTGCCCGTACCTGGATTGCCCATACCTGGAGCTCTTGCCCGTACCACTCCATCAGGCATAAGCCCATCATGCCACCAACCAGGAGCCATGGCCCTCCTTCCCCATGCATCCATGCTCACTGCTGCACTCTCTCTCTAGCACCCTACCCCACCTGCACGCTTGCCCATCCCACCCATCACCCCCATCTCTCATCCCACCATACCTGGAACGCCTGGCCAAGATCCCACCCACCTAGCATCACATCTCATCCCACTAACGTGTTTGCCCACAGCACGATGTATGAAGTGAATTTTTGAGACGTCTCAAAAAAACAACTTTATACACGTGTTTGCCCACGCGAGCTTCTGTCGGAATTCCCTCTGCCGCCGCCTGACCATCCCCAGTACCCTGCCTGCCCTACCTCGACCCGTGGCCCTTACCCATGCTCATGCCACCTCGACCCGTGGCCCTTACCCATGCTCATGCCACCTCGAGACATGGTCTATACCCATGCTCATGCAACCTCGAGATATGGTCTATACCCATGCTCATGCCACCTCAAGACATGGTCTATGCCCATGCTCATCCCACCCACCTGGCGCGTTTGGCCATGATCCACGCAAGCTTCTGCCGGAATTCTCTCTGCTGCCGCCTGCTCATCCCACCTGTAGCCATGGTCCAAACCCATGCTCAGTGCTCAATCCCCTCTCCCCAGCACCCCACCATGCCACCACGCCACCATTCCACCCACCTGGCGCGTTTGGCCATGATCCACGCGAGCTTCTGCCGGAAGTCTCTCTGTTGCCGCCTGACCATCCCACCTGGACCCACGGTCCTTACCCCTGCTCAGTGCTCAATCCCCTCCCCACCACCAACCCACCCACCATACTCCCCCCAGCACCCCACCCCACCTGGCGCGTTTGGCCATGATCCAAGCAAGCTTCTGCCGAAAGTCTCTCTGCTGCCGCCTGATCTCCGCCTCCTTGGCCCTCAGCCGCTTCACCTCCGCGCCCTTCCAGTAGTGCGACCGAGCCCGCGCCACGCGGATAGCGTTGTCCGAGCGTAGCTTGATTTTGAACCTGTAAGGAGGAGAAGGGAGGGGTTGGAGTGGGGGGAAGGGAGCAGCAAGGGCTTGATGGCAGCCTCCTTGGCCCTCAGCCGCTTCAACTCCGCGCCCTTCCAGTAGTGCGACCTTGCCCGCGCCACCCTTATAGCGTTGTCTGTGCGTAGCTTGATCTTGAACCTGCGGAGGGGGGAGCCCGGAGGGGAGGGAACAAGGGGATGAGAGTGCTGCCCTTGCCCTCACCACGCGGATGGCGTTGTCTGTGCGCAGCTTGATCTTGAACCTGCGAGAGGGGGGGAAGGGACGAGTAGGAGGGCGGAGGTCCGGCAACAAGGCGAGGAAGGGGAGGTTTCTGCCTCGCCCTCGCCACGCGGATGGTGTTGTCTTGTCTGTGCGCAGCTTGACCTTGAATTGAACCTGTATGTGTGGCAGCTTGACCTTGAATTGAACCTGTATGTGTGGCAGCTTGACCTTGAATTGAACCTGTATGTGTGGCAGCTTGACCTTGAATTGAACCTGTATGTGTGGCAGCTTGACCTTGAATTGAGCCTGTATGTGTGGCAACTTGACCTTGAATTGAACCTGTATGTGTGGCAGCTTGACCTTGAATTAAACCTGTATGTGTGGCAGCTTGACCTTGAATTAAACCTGTATGTGTGGCAGCTTGACCTTGAATTGAGCCTGTATGTGTGGCAGCTTGACCTTGAATTGAACCTGTATGTGTGGCAGCTTGACCTTGAATTGAACCTGTATGTGTGGCAGCTTGACCTTGAATTAAACCTGTATGTGTGGCAGCTTGACCTTGAATTGAGCCTGTATGTGTGGCAGCTTGACCTTGAATTGAACCTGTATGTGTGGCAGCTTGACCTTGAATTGAGCCTGTATGTGTGGCAGCTTGACCTTGAATTGAGCCTGTATGTGTGGCAGCTTGACCTTGAATTGAACCTGTATGTGTGGCAGCTTGACCTTGAATTGAACCTGTATGTGTGGCAGCTTGACCTTGAATTAAACCTGTATGTGTGGCAGCTTGACCTTGAATTGAGCCTGTATGTGTGGCAGCTTGACCTTGAATTGAGCCTGTATGTGTGGCAGCTTGACCTTGAATTGAACCTGTATGTGTGGCAGCTTGACCTTGAATTGAACCTGTATGTGTGGCAGCTTGACCTTGAATTAAACCTGTATGTGTGGCAGCTTGACCTTGAATTGAACCTGTATGTGTGGCAGCTTGACCTTGAATTGAACCTGTATGTGTGGCAGCTTGACCTTGAATTGAGCCTGTATGTGTGGCAGCTTGACCTTGAATTGAACCTGTATGTGTGGCAGCTTGACCTTGAATTGAACCTGTATGTGTGGGAGGGGAGAGGAGGGGGGAGGACAAGGGAATGAGATTATGAGAGTGTTGTTGCCCTCGCCCTAGCCACGCGTTTGGCGTTGTGTCTTTCGGATTTAGCTTGAACCTGGAAAGGGTGGGGGGGAAGGGGGAGTGGCAAGGGGGAAAAGGAGAAGCGGAGGCGTTGTCCCCTGGCTACGCACATTGCATTGTCCCCTGGCTACGCACATTGCATTGTCCCCTTCCAGGCATCGGAACCAGCAAGGGGAAGGGGGGGCGGGGCGGGAGAGGAGTGAGACGAGGCGGCAAGAGGAAATGACGGGCTGAGCGTCAACCTGATGGCCTTGTCTGCACATGGCTTTATTTGTGAACCTGTGACGGGAGGGAGGGTGAAGATGGAGGGGCCTTGGCGGAGTGAGCTTCAACCCGATGGCACACGGGGCTGCTTGCTGGCAAGAGAGCAAGGGTGCGTGAGAGCAAGGGTGCGTGAGAGCATGCACGGGCAAACAAGCCGATGCATGTTTTTCCGTGAAACACCCCTCTTTCTCCTCTCCTTGCTCCCACATGGCTCATTCATTCACGCCTCATCCTCTTCCCTCTCCCCCATCGCTCACTTCTTGATCGCTCACTCCTCTTGCCCCTCTTTTGGTGGCCCCCAGAATCACGCACTTCTTGATGGCTCGATCCACGTCAGCCTTCCTCACCTCTACGAACACGCTCCTCGCTCCTCTACCTGCTACCCCATTGCTCATCTCTTCATGCCTCATCCTCCTTGCCCCTTTCCTCTCTCCCCGCTCCCCCTCGCTCCCCATCACTCACTTCTTGATAGCTCGATCCACATCGCTTCACCTCCACGACCATGCTCCGCGCTTTCCCCGCACACCCATTCCTCACTTCTTCATGCCTCACTCTCTTCCCTTTCCCCCGTGCATCACTCACTTTTTAATGGCTCGATCAACGTCGCTTTTATTCACCTCCACGAACACACTCCTTGCCTGCCCCGCGCCCGACGTCCGCGCCGCAACCACTGCGGCGTGCGCCGCGCGCAGCGACGGTGCGGCGGAGGCGGCGGAGGGAACGGGCTCGACGGAGAGCGCACGCGGGAGGGCGACGAGGGTGCTTAATCGGTGTCTCTGGAACGAAAACGTGTCGAAGCGTCGTGGCGAGGATGATCTGGAAATCGACGGCTGAGAGGCATGCGGGGCTGATCTGCCCGCGCCGCCTGCGATCCGATCAACGCTCGGCGCGCCTTGCGTCGAGATCGAAAAGCGAGGCGCGCATGACGCGAGTTGGAAGCGAGCGCGGAGGTCTGATGCTGCTGGCGATGCTGGCAGTGGCGGCGACGCGTGAGAAGGGGGCGCAAGGGAGAAGGACTGTGCGGGGTTTTGGGGGGCGCGCGACCGCGACGCGGCGGGCTCGAGAGAGGCGGCGATGCACGGCGCGCGGGGGAGTGCGGGGCGGGCGGCGAATGCGGCGGCGGTGGTGGTGAGGGCGGAGCGCAGGTGGCGCGCGGATGTGCGAAGTGTGGACATCAGAAAAATGTGGATCTGGCGGATGCCGGGAGGTGGGGTTTCGGCTTGGATTTCTAGGTCGAAGGAAGCCTGTGTCGGCCGGTTGGTGCAGAGTGGTGGCGAATGACAGTCGACTCTAGGGCGTTGTTCGCCAGCACTTTTAACAACAAAAATGACGGGATCAGGAAGGTCAGTCTCAGCTTCCTGATCCCGTCCGTTAGGGTTCGTTAGGGTCCGTCAAACAGGTCAGCCCGCGAAATTCTTGCCGAGCCTATGATTCCGTCCGAACCAAACGGAATCATGTTGGCCTGTCGAACGCCCTCCTTTTTATTAATTTCGAATGGAATCTTGAAGGTAGGAAAGTGGGTCGAGAGCTTCCTCTACAGGCAAACGTTGGTCCCGTTGCCATTCCATCGCCATTCACCCCCCCAAGCAGAATTGCCTTGGAATGGCCATGGGATTGGAAGGATGTGGAGGGTGGGGACGGGGAATTGGAAGGTGAGGAGGGTGGTTCCTGATCCCGTTGCCACCTTCCCCTTTCTGGCGCGAAATTTCGCGATTTCGCTGCCCCCATCATTCGAATTCGGGAGGTTCCTCATGAGGTTCCTGATTCCACGGCCATCCCGAGGCCTTTCTTTTTTTTAAATGTGCTGGCGAACATCGCCTAGGAGGGGTGTGGTTTACAGGAGTAACCTGCAGTTGATGGGGCTATCCTAAGTGGATCGTTGACGAAGCCCCTTTGGGTTTTTAGTTACGGCGGAAGAGGTACTTCCGAACCTGCGCTTTCTAGGGAGCTTCGTCACTACCTGCACACAGTTTCCCAGGTTTCGCGGCCCAGACAGAAGACTTGGGCCCTGTTCGGTAGCCTTCCAGTCACACTGGGCCCACTCGAACTGGGGAAGCCTACGACATGTTTCGTAGCCTCGGGTGTCCACTCACACTGAAAGGAAGTCTCGTCCACAAACGCAAGAAGTTACCGTGTGTTTCTCGAGAAATTGCTGGTTGAAACTTTTACTTCTGTACGAGGCTGCCCAGCTCTCAAACAAAAAACAGCCCGCCAAATGAAACACCCTCGATATGGAAAAAAATAAAATCACGAACGGGCATGATCTCTCATCGTTTGAACGAGCGGGCTGAAAAAACATAATTTGACCCGATTCGAAACTAATGCTGTGTTTACCATACGCCGTGCCACTCAGAGCGGGCCTGCCTGAGTGGAACTGGAAAGCAGAAATGGGGTTGACTTTCACTGGCGGTCGAGCTTGCCTGAGCAAGCATTTTTTTGGTAGCGTCCTCAACTTCACTCGGACTGAGTTTTTCACGCGTTCGGTAGCCAACTTGCACTGGGCAGGTATGGTGTTCTAATAACGGTTTGGTGGGCTTTAAGGTGAGTCGAAACTGGGCCGAGGAAGAGCACCTGCATCAACCGCAGTGTGACTGGGGGGGCTACCGAACAGGGCCTTGGAAAAGATCAACCTGGGGCCGAACAGTGCCAGAGGGGTGATCAACCAGGGCGATGTTCGACAGCACAGGGGATCCACCGAGGGATGGAGGGGGGGATCGAAATTCTCACCTTGGGTTTCTAGTTCGGGGTGGTCAACTCGGAGTCAACCAGCGTTGACTCGAAGTCTGGGGTCCAGGCGCAAGCGGAACCTTTGGGGGAAAAGGCGCGGATGAGCGACGCGGGAATTGGGGGCCCACGAAACTGCAGCCGCACGAAACGAAACTTCGCGAGCTGAACTGTTTTATTTCTCCCTGCCTCATTTTACTGTTGCGATGGGATTGGGTATATCACTTCCCGAAAACATTTAACACCATAAATTAAAATGAATGTCTTAAATGTCGTACTCACCCATTTGACCTTATTGAATACAACTGTTTTGCAATATATTTCCGATGTCCGGATTACCCGTCAGTTTAGAGTGTGGGGTACAATCAAAAAACAATTTCGTGGTTGAGGGAATCCATTTTATATCCCCCGTGGGTGAGGCCACTCACGGGAGTGCAATTTGGATTCCCTCGGCACTAGGGCGGATTTTTTCCGCCATGGGGGAGGTTTTGGGGGAGGATGCGGCGCGGGTTACCACCTAGCGTGGTGTTTGCGTCGCGTTTTAGGCTTACGTTCGACATTTTTTTCACATTTTTCTAGCCTGACCGAAGTGTTTTGCCTGGTTCGTACTGGTCGAGCCTGGAGGCTCGCCATTTTGATCCTCCATCAAACCCCCTCTCCTGGCTGCCAAACATCGCCCAGGGGCCGAGAGGCCCGGAACTTACCAAACCGCTGCGCGAGGAGTTATTAACAGACGGTCTTTGTTTATTGCACGTCATTATGTTACTAGTGGCATGTACCGGCTCGCAAATTCGCTCGCGTGTCGTTTAGCGAGCCGACTCCGCCGAGAACTCTTAGGGCACCCAAAAATTAGAACTCATAGAGAACCTGGATGCTTTTTCGGGATGGATCAACCCTAAAAACCGGAACATTTTGGTTTTTAGGGTTGATGCCTCCCGAGTCGCATCCGTTTCCGAATGGGAAATATTTGTTTTCCTGTGCGTTTCCGATCGGGTAGGTGATATGTTGTCAAATGTTATATCTGCTACAGTTGGTTTAGGCTGTAGTGGGGTAGTTACTATGGGGTACAGTAAGTTAGGGTTTTCTACTTGTACCCAACACTTTCCTAGTGCAATCACTCTTGTTCATTCTGACATGGTATCACGAGCCTAGGTTGCCACCTAGGACCACTTACTACTACGGGCCCACTATTCCGCTAGAAGCGCCCTCGTGCGCCCTACCTTACGTACGCCCTCGTGCGCCTTTCTCTGCTCGTGCGCCCTGGTGCGCCCTTTTTCTGCTAGTGCGCCCTCGTGCGCCCCGCCCTTCGTTCTGCCCGCGTGCCGTCCTGCAGCCCTCGCGCCGCCTCCTGCTGCCCTAGGCCAGTGCGACGCCCCTGCAAGCTAGTAAGGCCCTCGAGCCGCCCCTGCATGTCCGTCAGGCCCCCGAGCCGCCTCTGCAGACCCGTCAGGCCCCCAAGCCGCCTCTGCAGGCCCGTCAGACCCGAGAGCCGCCCCTGCAGGCCCGTCAGGCCCGCGCGCAGCCTCTGCCCGACCGCGCGCCGCCCCTGCAGGCCCTCGCCGCCCGCACGCGGCCTCTGCAGGCCCGTCAGGCCAGCGCGCGACCCTGTCAGGTCGCAGTAGCGGCCCCGTCAGGTCGCTGATGCGGCCCCACCCTGCCGCGGTCGCGGCCCCGCCCTGCCGCCGACGCGGACGCGGCCCTGCCCTGCAGTGACGCGGCCGCGCCCTACTGCTGACGCGGCCGCACTCTTCTACTGACGCGGCCGCGCCCTGCTACTGACGCGGCCGCGCCCAGCTGCCCGCCACGTCGCCCTCCCCGCGGCGTCGCCCCTGCCCGCCGCGTCGCCCTGCCCGCCACGTCGCCCTGCCCGCGGCGTCGCCCCTGCCCGCCGCGTCGCCCTGCCCACGGCGTCGCCCCTGCCCGCTGCGTCGCCCTGCCCGCCACGTCGCCCCGGCGTCGCCCCTGCCCGCCGCGTCGCCCTGCCCGCCGCGTCGCCCCTGCCCGCCATGTCGCCCTGCCCGCCGCGTCGCCCTGCCCGCCGCGTCGCTCAGAGTAGAGGGTCGTTGGGTACTGCTCGCTGCCCGTACGTTATTAGCACGGGTGTCCGGACGGGTCAGCCTTGCGGGACGCCTGGTCACACAGAGTCACGCTGCTTTGCCCGTCTGAGCGACGCTTGGCGTACAGAGTTTGGCGACGACGCTGAGCTCCCCGACTGGGTGGAGCTGCTTAGGCAGAGGGTAGATATCTTTGCTCTTGACTATGATGCTATTCTCACTGCAATGTATGCATTGTCTACTAGTGCCGAGGGAGCCTGTTACCTGTGTGTGCCGCCTGACCCCGGTATCCAGTCTGCTGCTCCAGGTGCCGGTGAGGCTGCCGCTCTAGGTGCTAGTACGTCTGCTGCCCCAGGTCCTGGTGAGGCTGCTGCTCTAGGTGCAGTTGTGTCTGCTGCTTCAGGTGCTTGTGAGTCTGCGCCTTCAGGTACTGCGTCTACTGAGGCACTGCACACCTTCACACTGGACTCAGGTGCTTCTCGCTGTTTCTTTCGCGACCGCACTGCCCTAGAGCAGCTCCCTAGACCGGTTGCTGTCTCCCTGGCTGACCCCTCCGGGGGTCCGGTCCTTGCGACCTCCACCACTGCCCTCCCTTGTCCTGCTGTCCCGTCCGGCACACTGTCGGGCCTTTACCTCCCCTCGTTCTCTACGAACTTGGTGGCGGGTTCCGCGCTCCAGGACGCGGGTGTTCACCAGTTCACCCCTGCCTACGAGCGTGTGACACACTGCACGTGTGCCCAGACGGGTCGTCACCTGGCTACCTTCACTCGGCAGCCGGGGTCGGACTTGTACACACTGACCACTGAGTCCCCTCAGGTAGCGGCGTCTGCGTCTACGTCAGGTCAGTTGTCCGCCCCCTGCTCGTGTCGCACCCTGTCGCACCGGACGGTCCTCTGGCACCACCGCCTTGGTCACCCTTCGATGCAGCGCCTTCGTGGCATGCACTCTCGTTTCCTCGTCTCTGGTCTTCCCAGGTCACTGCCTCCCCTGCCACCGTCCCCTGCCCCTCCTTGTCTTCCCTGTGTCGAGGGGCGGCAGCGTGCCACCCCTCACTCCTCTGAGTTCCCCCCGACAGAGGCTCCTCTGCAGACCCTTCACATGGACGTGTGGGGCCCGGCCCGCGTCCGTGGACAGGGCGGAGAGCGCTACTTCCTGCTGGTAGTTGACGACTACACGCGTTACATCACGGTCTTCCCCTTGCGCACCAAGGGAGAGGTCCCTGCTGTCTTGATCCCTTGGATCCGCGCTACTCGTCTCCAGCTGGAGAGGCGCTTTCGCACGGACCTTCCCGTCCTGCGACTGCACTCTGACAGAGGTGGTGAGTTTTCCTCTGGCCTCTTGGAGACCTTCTGTCAGGGGGCGGGCATTCGCCAGACGTTCACGCTTCCGGCCTCTCC